ATACCGACGCTTGTCGTCCGTCGCCCACTGTTCTCATTCGTAAACCCGGCGCGCTCGCACGACAACTTTGTTTCGGCGCGACCCTTTGAAAATCCGCCAACTGCAGTTTTGTACACTATTATTGACGTCATTTACAAATACGTTGTAATTGTATAATGCTTTATAGCGATAATGTTAAACAGTCCAGTTATATTTGTTATGACCGGCCGGTTGTACTCGAATAGCGCCGTGTAACGTCGATAAAAAACTTACAATAATAATAATAATAGCGATATACCGCGATGCCGTGCCGGAGAAAATCCAAAGAAACAGCGCCCCTCGACGGCCGTTTACTCAGTCTTTTGTCTTTTAAAATGCACTCAAACCCAATCGCGTCGCGTCGTAACGCCACCGTTATTTCGAAAAAATGATAATAATTCACATTGATACAACGACGCCCGCTGGTCGCACCCCTTGGAGTACTGGAAAGTGACATACGACTCGCCGCCAACGGTAAGTCTTTGACTATCGTGTCAATACGCAATTAACAATTAACATGGGCTTAAAAATTCGATTCGCCATAGTTTTAGAGTCATTTATGCTCGATATAATTTATTAACGAGTTACGGTTTGGACAATAATTACGTTGTATATTTTTATGTGTAGAAAACTAGTGTATAATGTATTTTTTTAATAATCAAATGGATGCTTTTATGGTACTGAATTCATAAAATATTCATAGAAAAATAAAGGAGAATATTAACTATGCTTAACATAGCGATTTTTCGATAGATCAAATCATTTTTTTTTTATACATTTTTAAAGATTAGTTTTTAGTATTTTTCAATAAATCATTAAAAGTTAACGGATTAAGTTATCAAATATTTTAAAACGTTTAAGCTCAGATAAAGTTCTTCTTTATTTTCTATGAAAATTTGGTGATTCCGGTGAAATAATTTCACAATAGTTCTAACCATGTTTAAATGAAAATGTTTACCAACATTATTTTTTACAGTTTTCTATTGGTTTTTTTAGAAAAAAAAATTCAAAAACTACTTAGGTAAAACAAAAAAGCTCTATAATTAATTATTTCATCTTTAAACAATAATGATGAATAAACAAATGTTAATTGCTTATTAAGTATAAATAATATTATAATTTATAATTACTTAGTTTGAACAATAAAATATATCTAACATTGATAGATTACCGAGAAATATTCGGAATAGGTTTTTACTTTCTTTCCCCTTTGTAATTTCGTATATGATTCCATAAAATTTTAATTTTAGCTAAAAATAAAAATTAATCCGTTCTCTGCTCTTTGAAAAAACTCCTATACAAAAAACAATGAAAATGTCTATCGAAATACAAAAAACCTGGCGATGATCATGAGTGTTTAGTAAAATGGAAATTAAAAATAATAAAACTAAAACAATTAACTATAAAGTATAATGTGTAATATTTATGCGTCTTTATGCGAATGTAAATAGTTTCATCTTTTTTTCCGACTCCGTACACATTCCATTCTTATCTCCCGCCTCACGTCCTTACTCTACTTTTATACAATTATATTTCATCCCTTTTCTCTTACCGCTCACTAACCTTTTCTTTCCCATGTGACCTAACTACTACACGCTACCATGGCCTTCCTCAAGGAAGTTGCCTATGTCCTATTTTATTAAGCATTTATATGAGCTTTATAATTTCGGCTCTCTCTCTTCTACGCTGATGATATAGTCCTTTATGCGTAAAATAGTAAACGAATTGAGGTAATTTCCACTCTCAACCATTCTCTTTCTTTTCTCTCTCACGAATTATTGCTCTCTTCTTACTATACATTAGTTACTGGCAAATGTGAGTTTATTCTCTTTACCAAAAAATGGTTTTTGCTAATGGATCTGCCTCAGATTTTGCTTCGATGGGCATATCATTACCTATTTGGGACTTAAACTTACACATTTCCAATTCCTACACTCCTCTGCCTGTTTTCTAATTTAAATGATGTTTTTAACTTTCACTCTACTCTGGCTAACAACCCTAACTCTTCCAACATCCGTCTAACTTTCGTTACGTTCTCATCATATCATCTTATTGGCTAATTAGGAAAATATATTTTCATAAATTAACATAAACGTAAGAAGTAGGAAATTAAGACATGAACGCACATATATATGGTGATTAACTTGAGTTGACGCACACTTACACAGTTGGCTCACATGTGTGATTGCCCAAACACAACTCATTATAACTAGCTATTTGCAATACTCAGGTTTTTGAATTAAACTTGTGTCAGAAAAATTCATTTGACATATTTATTTTATTATATTGTTAACGGAAAAAAGATGTCGGAGTATATTTAAATATTTTACGTTCAGCTCGGAAAACATTCAAGAATATCGTGATGTAGGGTTGTTTGACGTTAATGTATTGGTATTTTATTCATTCCTTGGACACCCAATAACATATTATAAGACGTCATCGACTATTTCATGATACATTTGAATATTCTTTTTCTGTTTTGTAGGTATGACATACAATGTTTATTCACTTCAGAAGTATCGTGGGCCTATGATGTGATATTATTGAGCTATAGGCTAAAGTGGTTTATAATTATACCTAACCAAAGAATGGGTTCCTTCTACCATTGAATATATTATATAAGTAGGTAAAATAAAAATATTTAATGTAGAAATAAAATAAACCCGTATTTGGCAATAACCCTGGTGTTTTTGATAAAAAGGCCGACCCAGTTAAGATTTTTTCTGTAAATATAAACCCAATAAAACTCATGAAAACTATGTTTTTGAGTAATGTTTGAGTAGTAAACATTTGATGGGCTTAAAAAAATAACCGCTGTATTTTTGCTAACTGAAATAAACCGATAATTTCGTGTATGCAAAATCATTGCATGGGGTTGATGACAGAAAAGAGGAATACCGAAAATGGCTTTAATGAAAACTTTGTATTAAACAATTTTCTAACTAATACGGTAATATAATCTATAATCGGTATGAAGTTTCTCACTCCTATATCTGCCTGTATTACCAAATCTCTTATTTCAAAAAAATTCTCCAAAACGATCTTAATACCTATGGGTTTTAATATTTCATTGACCAGCTGATTGATGACGTAAGTGCTAAAATTCTGAAAAATTTCCAAGGTAAAAATGTTTTTTGAGTTTTATCATACAACAATATTACGCTCGTTGTATTTTCCCCCTTTGGTAACAAGATTGAGGGGGTTGACTTTTAAAACTTTAATGTTAATGTACACATTTAATTATTTTTTTAAATTAAGATTAATTTGTGGAAAATTTTGATTGATTGACAACCTGTTTTGAATAATTGTTTTTTATTGTTATTTAATTTTAAAACTTACAACGGGAGGAAGATCCGAGTGCAGAATTATTTTTATCTGCGCGCATTATTCAATTAAAAAATTACAATTATTTTTTTTAAAAATGAGTGTCTTATCCTTAATGAACCATCCTGTAATCTTATACTCATTTCTTAATGAATTGAAGTAAAATACAGCTGTACAGCTAAAACACTAAGTTCGCCGTTCGACATAACTCATAAGTATAAAGACAAGCCGTTATTCTATACAAGTTATTCTTTTAAAACTTTCCTTGAAGTCAGTTTGGATGGTTAAAGATACATATTATTATACTTATAAAACAACTAACAAGTATGCGTAAACTTTATACGAACCTGTCAGAATAATTTAACATGTAAGCCATAATGTTACACAATATGAAACTTCGGTCTTACAATTAGTAACCTTATACCTACACGTCTGTTCGGTGTACAAAGACTAAAGTTGCAATAAATAATACTGAGACCCTTATTTTCAACTTCTGAACTGATAATAATGATTCTCCTGTAAACGTGCGTTGTAACTTACATTAAACGATTTACAAATTTAGTTTTTATCATGTCACTACTGTACAATATTTTATACAAAGTGACTCCACCAGAGAATGTACAAAACCAGTAAATGAACACTAGGCCCAATTTAAAAATTCTTGAACTTTGTTCATTATTGTTGTCAATTCACTGCAGAATTCTCTGAGACCTTACTCCTTAGTTCTCACTTAACAAATATAAACACAATATCACAACCGCATGTATTGATATATAGATAAATCGCAGAGGGAAAATTTAGACACACAACATTAAAACTGTCTTTACCGTTGAGATGGTCTGTTTATGTACTAACTTAAGTTTATACAATTATCTTAATGTTTTACATGCATTAAAAACACTGCTATTGTTGCTTTTACTGTAAGAGCTTAAAACCAGGAATACTATAATATGGTTCTATACTATATATTATTGTGACCTATTTATTATGGTATATACCTAAACTGACCGTCTACACTCTACAACACAAAATCCATAAACTCTGAAGGGTGTTTCTGATGTCCAAGGAAATTTCCTAGAAATCTTTTGTTTTGGCGATTTTAGAATGTAATGAATAGTCGCACGCACCGTTTCAAAAATGACTGGCGATCATGCAACTTTTCTATCACATTTTAGTTTTTACATACAGCTACTGTCTTTCCTTTGTCAAACTTTTTTTCCAATGGTAACCCGTTTTCCGGTTTATCGATTGAACCATATGAATTCTACAACTGCATTGGCAATCAACAGCCTAAGAACTACCTCTACCATGATTTATAAATAATAAAGTCAAAAGCTTCCGAAATGAAATGTCAACGGTCACACGTAACCGAAAAAAAGAGAAAACAAATATATTTTGCAGTGAACCGCAACTACAAGGTTTCAGATCTAGAGCAATCGAAGAGGAACGCCTAGGGGTGTCGATATATTTTGAGGTCAAGCCTTTTTGGATTAGGTTAGGTTATGTCGAATTTATTGTGGTTTTGGAAACCAGCCGACCGGTACAATATTGTAAACATTGCAATGAGTCTATTTAGCAGCCGGTTTAACTACAATACCCATGTACGTACCTATATCGTATCGTATTGTATTATGATTATAGCATTATAATAATATTATTTCATAGCGAAATTATTTATTATTATTGTGCAGAGCTTAACCTATGTTATCAGTTATAATAATAGTGAAATAGTAATAATAATACAGAAACCGCGGTGATCGGCTGGCGGTTGGCCGACCGTGACGTACGTCGAGGTGAGGATGAGGCGTGGAAGTAAAATATTTCATGATATTCACTGTTATTCCTTGCGTCACGGCTGTGGCGGCGGCCGCATCTAAGTACACCACTATTTTTTCTTTTGTCGGCGGACGCCCGACGCGGGACGACGACAACGGTGTTGGGAAAAGAATAATAATGTGGATTGTGGTCGGTTACTGGCCGCCGCCGAGTTGCCACTTCTACCGATATCTAAGCTCCGCCTCCTATTTTTTTTTTATATATAATATAATATTATACACAAAACGGACAAACACAACATTATTATACATCTATAATACTATTATACTCGTATAGTATATATGTAAACTATATTATATTAGTATACCACGATCGCATTCAGTGATAATATAGAACGTACACGATATACTATACAGACTACAGTATACACGCACACGAATTGCATTGCAATATTGCATTATCTCACTGAAGATACCAACCGATCAACAACAGCGACCATAAGATAATAATATATAAAATATATGTATATTATGTAGTTGGTGTTTTTTTTCTTCTATGTTATGATATTTCGGTTGTTGTTTTATTTTATTTTTTGTTGGTATGGAGAAGAGAACGGGTTACGCAACTTGGACGGTCGCCTGATGTAAGTATATAACCGTCCGTTGCCAAGATCCAGTGTCGGTTTTGCCGCCGTTATCGGTTCTCGTGCGTTAACCTCGCACTGCTTTTCGGCTTGTCCGTCGATTCCCAACCGTTTGAGTGGTCTACGCCCGTCAATAATTGTTTTGTCTCGGTCCAGTTGTAGACCGATCCATTCGAAAATGAGCTCTAGTGATTTCCGCTCAGGTAAACGTTACTCGGATCTACATCAGCAGGCGGCCTTGTCTTGTCAATCGAATTAGCGTAGTTAGTCGCTACCAGATAATCGATTGACTTGCCGTCAAAACTCGGGAGTCTAAATTTCTTTTACTTGGTTATATGCTTTCTTAGTAAAAAATTGCTCTCAGAAATTACTACTCATTTGGTTCCGAAACAACATAGTTGATTAAATTGTGTCTGCGCAACTTGTTTTCATATACGTTGATGTCGTATGGCTGTAATTAATGTTGTGTGGTTTTTTTTTTGTTTCAGGTATTTGAATCGATAATGCAATGAACGTACACCCTGAATGTGTCTTACCCTCGTTGACAATGAAGCAACTGGATAATGTTGTAGAGGACACTCCATTAAAGGGATTCAATACAAATATAGAATGTATTGACAAAGTCCTGAGCGACGTGGGATCTAACTGTCTGACTACTATTACGACAAAATGCTCAGATATTGCAAAAGCCACATCAGAGTCAGAGTTTTTAGTTCAAAGTATTTTGTTTGATACAAATTCAAATGGATTTTGCTCAATTAATTCAGACGGTCCAAAAAATGTTCAACCCAATACTAATGAAAACAACTTATTCGATTGTGATTCAAAGCTATTTAGCAATGATGAACATTTTAAACACGATAGTAGTATGTCATATGCAAACAATACAGAAAGTATTTCAAGTACAAATGAAACTAACTATAATAACGTAAATAATGTGTGTACAAATAACAAAAAACAAGGTTTTACAATTGGAGAAATCGACAGTGATAAATTATCTCAATGTGGTCAAAATTCAAATAATTTGACTACATATTCAAGTGAGTACACATGTTTTTTCAACGAACAACCCGATTCTGTAAGTACTTTAACACCATTCAAACGAACCAACAGTTATTTCCTAGACTCTCCGGTTAAAAAAGTATGTATGAAATCACCAACTCAAGAGATTGCGACCAATATTTCTAGTTTTAACAGTTATTCTATTTATGATAACAATATATATACTGGATTGACCGGTATTCAATTGGATTTGGATGGTTTGCAAGATCGTTATGACGGTAGCGATTCCGGTTTTGGATCAGAACTCACTGACGACAAAAACAGCCATGTTTCTGATACAATGGTTCCATTACATAGTGTACCTTATAATAAAAGTTTTACCCCTAACTCGGAATCTACTTTTGAAGACTTACAGAGGACGTCTAATGAATTTTTATCTGCAATGGAAGTGTTAAAACCAAAATATATAGATTCTATTCCCGAAATAAATACTTTTCAAAATAACTATAAGTTTGTGAAAGGAATTTTAAAACACAACAGGGCCAGTTATATTTCGCCAACAGGCGAAATCGCTGTTAAGAAACGTAAAAATATAAACTTTACTAATGTTACAGTTTTTTATTTCCCACGTGTTCAAGGATTCACATGTGTTCCGTCTCAGGTAAATTAAATTTGTTTTGATTTTTTTTTTTAATACTTATCAATTTTGTGTTATATATATATATATAGGGAGGCTCTACTCTTGGTATGACAAGAGTTCACTGTGCGTCACGTGTATTTTCTTTGCCAGAATATATTACTGAACAGAGAAGAATCCGCCGAAACATTTCCAACATGAATAATGCCGAATTTCCTGGTTTAAATACTGATGATAGCGATAGCGACATGGGTGCAAATGATGTTTATTCCGAATCTGATGCTGATTTAGATTCTGATAGTAATGGCTGCTTTTTACAGGTAAGGAAATATTTATGAATTTTGGTCACATCTATACAAATTGTTCCACCTTAATTGCTGGTTCTGCTGGCTTAGACAAATCTTGGTCACCGTATTAAACTTTATCAGACCAGCGGTACTCAACTCTATCTATACAGTTCTGCTACAATTATAACTATTTTTACTTCTTAACAAAGTTTTTTTTCCATTTATTAACTCTTCTCAGTTAAGTTTGAGTTAAAAAAAAAAATGTTCCATTTAATTATGCAGATTAAAGTATTCATGAATCTAATATTTCATATTTTCAATGTTCATTGTTTAAATTATGTAATTTACATTTTACTATTTTCACAGCCTGTTCCAACTCGTCAAAGACGTGCGTTATTAAGAGCTGCTGGTGTGGACAAAATTGACTCTTCAGAAAAAGACGACTGCCGCAACATAAGACTGTCGAGAGAGTTTTGTGGATGCTTATGTCGGGGATTTTGCGACCCAGACACATGTGCTTGCTTTCAAGCTGGCATAACATGTCAAGTGTGTATACAAATAATATTATTAAATAAGTCTTATAGCTCGTTAAAAATTGTTACAGGGAAATATTTATTATCATTGGCATAATTTGTAGTTTGTCCAAACTCCAAAAGACTAGATTTTGGGATTATTCTAATTTTATTTGGAATTATCATAGATTATAAAATTTACAGATAAGCAAATACACAGATATTGTTCTATAAACATAAACAGCAGCCAATTTTTTGGGTAATTCCTGTCATAAACAAAAGTACCCTTGTAATAGTTTATTCACGGATAGATGGTATAGCAAGAATACTTGGCTGTGACTTAAAATAAACTAGTCTAGAGAGTACTTCTATTGACAACGGAAATCCGTGAATATCGGTTGCCGTTCTTGTATAACTTGTCTACTTGTCTGTAAATTTTAAAATCAATGGAATTATTTAAATAATGTTCAAATACAATCACATAAATTATTTTTAATTAAATTGGCCATAAAATGTTTTTTTATTAAACCTACCTAACGGACGTATTTTAAAAGTACAAATTTCAAATCAGGCCAGTTAGGTATTTAAATGAAACAATCGTGAATTTCAACAATTTTTTGTATTTTGTTTTCAGGTTGATAGAATGAATTTTCCGTGTGGATGTACTGTTGATGGTTGTGGAAATTCAGTTGGCCGTGTACAGTTTAACCCATCAAGAGTAAGAAAGCATTTCATACATACGCTGATGAGACTCGAAATAAAAAAGAGAGAAGCGCAAGAAGAAGAAAATAAGTTGGCTATGGTTTCATCGACTTTATTACCAAACTTACCCTATCATGATTCAAGACACATACAACCGTACTATCCTCAACAAAACTATGAGTCTAACACGCATGATTACAATTTTGGTTCGTTTTTACCGGCTTACGATAGTCATACTGTAGTTTCCGTTGAAAATAACCCTATGATCGATTACCAACAAAATGTAGGGCATTCTTCGTATGAACTGTATCAGCCATTTACGTCTGCATTTCTACCGCTTACGTCCGACCGCATACAGAGACCGTCACTCGATAACAGGCCAGAATCGTTCACTGAACTTTTGCAGTCGTGCAGCACTCTGGACGTTAACAATACTTTGGCAGTTGGCTTAAGTACTTCAGAAAAAGACGCCTTATATTTAGATACAAATAGTTTAGGAGAAATAATTAAAAACACCATTGTCGAAAGTGTCAACTCGTAAATGATAACATCTTCAGTTACTATATAATTTTTGTTCCTTTTATTATTTATTTTTGGTTCCCTCAATCGTTAAATTTCTGTTTTATTTTTATTAGATAATTGTTAACACTTACGATGTTTTTACTTTTCCAAGATTATTAAAATATTTTTTTTCTTTATTTGATTTCTATGTTCATTTTCCAGCAGTTAATTTGTAACTGCAATGTGTTTTTACCATTCATTAGAATTAAAATATGTCAATCAAATTAAAAAAAAACCTTCAAAAAGTAATTTACTTAGAAAGATCTTGTGGTAATATTTAATATTATTATGTTCGGTTTTAAAAATTTATATAACAAATTGATATTATCTAAATAAAACTTTGTGATAATAAAACAAAACTTGGTGCATAGATATAGATAATATATAATACTAAATACTTTAAAATAATTTTTTAAAAAATTAATTTGAATAATTGCGTAATACTAAATTGGCAGAACGACTAACATTGAACTCAATTATCATATTTGACTGTCAATTTTTTTAAAAAAGAACGAAATGAAGACGTGTAAAAATTAGATTACTGTTAGTTACTCTAATCGATGCAACTGTAAATTATGCTTTATATATTAGGATATACATATATATATATATATATAAGGGCTGTGAGGAAAAAAAATCAATGTAAATTTTTTTTCATTTTGAGGAAGTCATGTTTTTAATTTCAAAACGTAATACATTTTGCCTGTATGCCTTAACTTCCGGTGATAGTTACTCTTGACTAATCCGTTTTTTTCCCTGGTTTGAGCACATTAAAGATACAATACGTCAATACAAATAATTTAATACCAAAATCTCATTTAAAAAAAAAATTTACATTGATCTTTATTCCCCGCAGAACTTCATATCATATATAATAATATATATATAAATTGATAAGCATTTAGGTTATTAGGATAATATGTATAAAAAAAATTAATTATTATTCTTTTTGACACTTATTCTTTTCCTTCTTGTCTTTGTATAAATGCATTTTAATTCTTTGTTCAATGAGGATATTTTTTGGCGTTTTATTTATATTGTTTACTTAAGTTTTCTGAGACTAATTTGCTGCTAATTGAATGGTGCCTCCTTTTAATTTATAAAATAATTTTGATAGCGGTTAAGAACTTATAAATAATAATAATATTTGGTTAGTGACTACAATCTAATGTTAAAACACTTTATTTTTTATAAATGTACCGAACAACTATGTTTTTAGTATTCCGGCTTTTGTACGATTAGTTGACTTTGTAGCATAGAGTAGACTATCAAGTTGTTGTCTGTGTAGACAATCTAAGCTATTTTTTTCTTTTTTTGTAAAATTTTACTTAATATTAAAATGTAATTATTTAATTAAGTAGATGCAAATGTGTGACGTAACTTTTTGTGCTTACCTTCTTTATTACATATAATTATTTTAAGCCAATAAGGTTAGCTAGCGTAATAAGTCGTCGTCAATTAATGATGTATGAACATTGCCTTATAGTTTTTAGTGATTGTATAAAAAAAAAATGATAATGGTTATTATTGTTTTCAATCTAAAAAATTGTGACCAATGTTATTTATACTTTTTATTAGATAGTTATAAACTTTGTGATGTGCGATGACTTAATATAAATCATATTAATTATTATTGATTAGTAAAACATTAGTAATTTTATTAAGCACGTTTATAAAAAAATTCACTTTTTGAATGTATTTTTAAAATTAACGTAATAGCGCAGATGCGAATAAAATGTTCAGTGCGTACACCAAAATTAACGTAGTTCCCTCCAAGTGTCAATCACTCTTTAATTACTTAATGTTTATTTTGAATACATATTTTTATCATATTATTAGTGTTTAGAAAATGTACATCTTTATGTTTTTTTTTTGTTTTGAAGCATTTATAAAATATTTATTATTTATAAATCCTTTTATAACATGTTAAAATACATTTTTTTTTTTTTTTTTATGAAATTTTGGTTGCGGTTCACCATGAAATCGAAATGTGATTATGTAGATAAACTGCCATTGATTATTATTTTATTATTATAATAAATTGTGTTTTAATAAATTAGAATCAATGTAACTGTATTGCCGTATAAATCATTTGGATTTACAAGCATTATTAATTTACATAAAAATAAATAATTTAATCCTTGACAAATGATCTGTGTCTTTTCAATCTCATACTACAATATCCCTAACTAGCTTGTGAAATTTAAATTTAAACCAGTGAAAGAAACGGCACTTGAGTCTTAACGTAAGTAACACATTAAGTCTAAAAGGTATTTTTTAAATAAATATTATATTAAATTATCAAAATAAGTGATTTGGTTCATGCAAAAAGGGTCCTTAACGCCATTTCTGGCAAAAACAAGTTTACCGCGGATTTTTACTGTTAGGGGGTAGATTCAACGTATTATTATGACTTGATATAAAACAATTATATATACTATAATAATAATATCAAGGTGGATTTAGATCTAATCTAAATCCACCTTGAATAATATAACGATATTTGCTATTATTGTTATTTACGTTTTCCGTGTAAATTACATTATTTTGACAAGAAATTTACTTTTTTTTCACACATGCAAAAAGAGATCTTAATCCAATTCATTTTTTATTATTTTAACTATAATATCTAGAGTCAAAAGCAATTTTCGTTATTGACACACGTTTTATGTGAACAACAAAAAAAAAATCATTAAAAATCATAAATTCACAAAGAACTACGATGTTTTTTTTAATTTTCTCAAAATGAAATAAAAGTGATAGGACCCTTTTCGCATGAGCCAAATCATGTATTATAATTTATATTGCATAGGTTTTAAAAGATTTGCAGACTTAAATCAAATGTTACTCTATGAACAAAATACCAAATCTGTAATGGTTATAATCACGGTTGTCTACCGTGGTTATAATTATGTTATCTCAAAATTAAAAGATAACATACAAACTATTATTTAGTTAACACATTATTATTCGTGTTTTAAGGTCTGTCCATTCAGGTCCGCTTGAGAATTAAAAAAAACGAACAGTTTTTACACGAGTTATTTTAATAACTTACAAACAATTTTATTAATCAGTGCAAAAATTTAACAACTATAGTCATTATTCCTATAAAATTTACAATAAAACTAACAATATTGTGTATATTATACAATAAATATATATTATATTGAAAAATATAAGAATACAATAATTGGTATGCATAAATTGTAATGAACTTTGGTAGTTATAAATATTATAATAATATTGAATATTATTGTATACAAAAATATTAATCACACACACGCAAACGCAAAAAAAAAAACAAAAATACACTATGACTAAAAAAAAGGTTATTAATATTAAGGCACTGATGAAAATTATTATAATTTCTTTCATAAATCTTATAGTGACCATTAATGGTTCCAATCGAAGAGATATACTAAATAATACAGCACCGATTAAAACAAAATAATAATATTGGGTAAAATATTGCAGCTTAAGTTAATGGTCTAAAATAATGTATGTAATAAACTAACCTAAATGGAAAACTAGTAAAATGGAATAATTTAATTACAACAAATCTTATATTATTGTAATTTAGTCGCTTCGTTTAAAGCGTTAATCCATCTGAAATCAAATATTTATACATATTGTTAATACGGTGCAATTAAAAATAAATAAAAATCTCACGTTGTACCTTTTGGCCAACTGTTCGATATCAGCGCAAAATATTAGTGGTCTCTGACCAGCATGAGCTAATTGGAAAACACAATTTGAGTCAAAATCTTCATAATTTGTACCCTAAAATTTAAAAAATACTATTGTTTAGAGTTGACAATAATTATTTGGTGAATATAGAATAATCTTCTATTAAAAAAATACTTATAAATAAAATACATGAATCTTTTTTTATTCTGAATAACTATATTCGAATAAAAATGTATTGAATAATGCCTAACCTGAAAAAAAAATTAAGATAATAAACAATCAATTATCACCTCAGGAAATGTTTGTACACTGTAGCCCAACACTGGTACAGTGTTTAATGCCACCACATCTTCAGACGCTTTGTAAGTGTATAAAACCTGCTCTTTCAGTACAAACCAATATCGCTTCCAAGACTTGCGACCCCGTTGATACAACCAGCCACTTATTTGCGAACCTGTATCGTTGGCCATGACCTAATACATAACAAGGTATGTCGTTGTACATAGTGTTTTGAATAATTATCCAACAATTACACACAAATTGCATTTGGCGTAATCGGATAACAACAACAGTTAATTTACCTCTTTAAGGCGTTGTGGAACGTATTTTACGAGTCTTTTGGTATTCCACAATCCAGATTTTTTAAATGAATTTTTTATGGTGTCTAATTTGTAAAGAATATCTGTTTCATCCAAGTTGGACGTAGTTTGACGTACTTCCACAATTTTATCCTCGACTTCTATAAAAGAAAATTATTAATTGTAAGATAATACACATATCAATTGTGTAACACAACACAAACCTTTGAACAAGTAATCAAAACAGTCGTCACACACTCGCGCCGATTGGAATTTCCTGTAATGGAGTGGTGCTCTGTTTTCCGAGCAACTCCTGCAAACTACCTGTTTTACATAAACAACATACCGAATGTGTGAAATAAAAAAAAACATTTGTTTTATTCGAGCACAAAAATTATATTTTTACCTTTCCACAAGCCCTGCAGTGGTGTCTACGAAATGTGACCGTGAACTCTGCAGCACACGATTGGCACATGGTCACACGACAGTCTTGAATCCAAATCGGAGCCTAAATTAAGAAAAAAATGTTTACATTTTTAGTACACTTAATAGGCAAGGGTTAACAAGTCGTGCATACTTCATGCCCTAGTTTGAGTGGTTCACAGCCGGCGTTTTTCGGTATAAACTTCATGTTCAAAAATGTAAGCTGTTTATTATTATGAACTCGAATGGCTTCCTCCAGTGTGGTGACCCATTCTTCGCGTTCCTCCGGAGTTCTAGAACAACGATCGTAAAGTTATCACGTCACGTGACAGCAAAACAGGATTAGAATGACAGACTTACTGAGCTCTCAGAGTGAAGCTTCTTGTAATGGTAATTATATTAAATTCGTTATAATAGTCATCAGTCAATGGTAAAAAGACTTTCATCCCACTAAGTGGGAGTTCGTAATTTAATTTTAATCCCGTAACCGTCCCATAGTATGAAGTGTACAAAAAACAATCGTTGAGCTGAAAAATTAGACAATTGTTCAGATATGGGTGTATACACTCACACAGCATAAATGTTGATATTGTTTCTAAGCCACTCACCAATATAAAATACCGAAGCTGCATGTCTTTTCTAGACAGTTTGTAAAGTTCTCCTTCCTTTACGAGTTCTCTGCCCGGTTTGATGATTTCATAATTTCCTAACTGTGATTGTATTTGCAAAAGTTTACTCAAACAATCCTGTAACATTGACACAACAAAATAAGATAACGACATGCAATATATATTTATTGTAAAAGACACTTACACCTTGTTTAATACTTTTATTAGCGTGATTAGCTACGTCACAGACAATATTCAAAGCAATTGATGTGTCTTTGTAGTCTATTGATGATTCGTCCAAATTTTTCAAATAACTTTCCAACAACATTCTATATTGCGGTATTCTTTGAATGGGCTTAAGCATGTAATGTTTGATTGTAAGTTTCTTACACACGTCGGAAGCTTCAAATTCTTTAACACATTTTTGAAATCTAGGATACTTGTGACAGCATTCATCCAACAAGTTACATTGAGCTTCAAAGTTCTGTATGTAAGTAGAGTACAATTTCAGGAATGGTCCTTTTTTCACAATAACATCAGCGATTTTTGGATGTTGCTCCCAGTTTTCCATACGCTTTTCCATATCATGCAAGAGGTCTTCATTTAAACTAAGCAGCTGGGGAAGTGGACTGATTATTTTGAGCAATTCGTTAGATGGGATTAGCTTGAAATCGTTACCAGCCTGTTCAACAAACGTCACAAATGTCTTGCACAACAATTTTAAAACGTCAATGAACACTTTCTCAGTTGATATTAGTTCTTCAACAATTCTCAAAGATTTTGTTTTAGTCGATATTATTTCCCCTGGTTCTATGTTATCTATTGATAGTGATTCATTGAGATCCAGTTTTTCATTGGATTTCTCTTCCATTGATGAATGGGAGTCCGTGTCATTTTCTTCTTTATCTGATTCGTTCTGACTATTGTAGAAAGAGCTACGCTGTTTCTTTTTATTTTTTCCTTTGCCAAACGATCCGAACCAATTGACTATTTTCTTCCTGACAGAGTATGATTGTTCAGTTGAGTCACTCGCAATAGATGATTTCTCGTCTTCGATGATTGTGCTCTGAATATCAACTCCAAGCATGTCAGTGTCGAACACAACGTAATCATTCAACAGACTTTCATTTTGAAACTCAAAATCTGAATCATTATCTGTACACTTGATGGTAATACTGTCGACATTGTTGTTTTCACTATCAATAACATTATTTTCTAAAGGACTATTAATAGTAACAGGAACTTCTAGGTTGGAAATATTCGAATTGACGTCGCTGTCGGTTTTCAATCCTTCATTGTATAAAACAGAAATATCATCTTTAATCTCAATACCTCCAATACGGTTTGCAATTGATTTAACAGTCTTATTGTTTTCATCCGCAGTCTGATCCTTGACGCTTGGAAACTGGTGTTTAACTTTGTATGGACTAGCTTTGTACATAATATTACTAGGCTTTGGGAGCAATGGAGGTTTAACCGTATACTTTGTTGCTGACGAGTCTATGTGACATTTCAATACTGCTATGTTGTCACTAGGGTTATCCATTTTGTGTTTTGAACAAACCCTTTAAAAATATATATATATTAATTCACAAAAGCTCCTACACAACTGATTAATTAAAAAACATACTTGTGTCGTTCATCGCAGCTGCAGTCGTCTGAATTGGTCAACAACAAAATTGGCTTTGGCGGTGGAGGCGGCTTTATTTTTTCTGAAGTAAAAAACATATATAATAATTAGAATATTTTAAGAATGTTAGTTGTAATATCAAGTATCCTAATAAATTATTTATCTTTTTTAATTTTTTATTTAAAATTCATTTGTGTCCATAAAATTTAAAAAACTAACAACAACAAATACTACTGATAACTAAAACAACTATTAACGAATAGCAAACAGCAATGTTTACTGTTAAAACAGAAAGTGTATCAACACTTAAAAAATATGTAATACATGATACATTGTTTGAAATATATGATGGTTTGCCATGTCTTTTCAGAATTTACTACTTTTATGATTAATAAAAATCAAGTTATTTTTTTTGTTAGAGATAATAATAAAAAAAAACTTTAATGATTAAACAAATTGGTAGACAATTTTTTTTGTTGAGCACTAAAGAAAATAAGGCATTTCTATAAAAAAAATATTTACGCTAAATTTACTAGTTTTGTACACTTATAAAAATTAATCTACCCGTAATGACTAATAAATAATTATCATTTATGAGTAATATATTGTTCTATTATCATAAACAATTATTTATCTTTTTTTATACAAGGCTTATCCTTCCATCTATAATATTTCTATCATTTAATTGTCTCTATCACATTATCTATCGTCATACTAGTACACATCGTTTCATACGCTCTCATTTAGTTTGTAAATAATTCTTAAGCAATAAAATATTGCAAACGCTGGAAATCACAAAATTTATTTGTATAAGTTTCGGTCTTTGGCAGACACAACTTTGTGAAAAATTTAACATGGACTCAAGTTTTATTATTATTTTTATGTATGATGGTAACTACATTGAAATACGACGAGTAAGCTTTGTTATTGATATATATGTATTGTATTCTAATCTTAGCCTAATTACTTAAATACATTTTTTTTTTGTAAATTTAAACAGAATTAATATTTAGCGTTTATTTATTTACTTATATAAAATGAGTTTATTTATAATATAATTCTCGCATACTTAAAAGACCAAAAGAAATAATATATATATATATAACACAATATTTTATATAGATTAACTCCGATGTAAAACAAATTGAAAAATATTTATACAAACGCTTCTTTACAATATTGTTTAAAAGATGAATAATCAGGCTGGCTATACTTGCCAGAGGTCATTTGTTTGGAAGATTTACTATGAAATTGTAATCCACGGTATTAAATGGAATATAAATAAATAAGACTTATTGAAACTGACTCTTCCTCTTTAATAATTTCTTTTAAAGTTCAGACAATAGTTTTAAAATCCTGTTTTTGACGTTTAAAAAAATGATATCATTTACCTAAAATAATCATATTAAAATTGACTTAATGGCATTGCAGAAAGTCTAAGACAAATTATCTATTCCCTAAAATTTAAAAAAATTACATATAAATTTAAATAAAAAATCAACTATTTAAAACATATGAACTTCTAGCTGAAATTATTGCAAGTTAATGTTTTGCGAAATCATACACAGATATGGTACACATACAATCCAAATCAATCAATACTTATACTCATTTATTTAACATAAGTATGTAAACAAACTAGTATGTATTGATATTTGATACTGACATTTGCACTATAGTATTTACTCACGAGTTAACTATTATATTTTGCTTGAAAATTATTTATCGGTAAATTTAGATAGTAATAATAGATAAGATTATTTGACTTTAAAGTCACTTGATGTGCTAGATTTAGTTACCTGGTGTGCCCATGATTGCCCATTTAGATTCTTCTAGAGACACCAGTCATAGTTTCTAACAATCGAGTTCCTAAGGAAACACAAAACCCGATTGGTAATTTATTGGAGCTCGATCCATCCACGTTCGACGAGATGTCTAATCTTTATCTTTATGAAATCAAATTCCCAGGTAATAGTGCATGTGTGACTGGCGTAGCGGACTACCTAGCATCGGTTAATTTGTTTGATTAGTTAATACACACCACAGCGACCGACAAGCAACACCGGACGGATGTCTGTTTGAAGAAACGTGCGCTAGATGTAGTGATTTCATCACTCAAACGTTGAATTTAGTTAAGTAGAAAAAATTAATAAAAGCAAATTCAAATTTACAATAAAAAAAATATACAATACTTAGTACTTACGAGTTACGCGAAATCAAAAATCCAAATGTCAAGCACGGAGCAACAATAGTTATCAATATTACAATTATTTAATTGTATGGTGTTTAGATAACATAAAACTGATAGTGTTGTTTACTTTTAATTTCATAATGATAATTTCACATTTTATTATTACAATATTATCTATAAAACTATACTGTTTTGCGATTTCATCATAATACGGTGAACAAGTAATAACTTATTATGTAATTATTTTGTGTAATGTAGCATATAATTAATTTCTAAGCCTGAAGGTTGGTTGTATTTCAGTGTCCATATCGCATAACATTAGTGTAGGTATGTTAGTATGATGTAAAATTGTATAGGCACTGCCATTAACTACCATTATGATCAATATATATTGTTATTCAAACACTGAAGATATTGTGTAAAATAATGTTTCAACTGCTCCATCAAATCATGTATTAAGTCTTTGAGTTTCATTGGGACATCCAGTAAGTTTTCACACATCCCAGAGTCCACCACTTCCAATAAGTAACAACATTTTTCAAAGAAAAAACTTCTAATTGGAAAAACTCAAAACTAGTATTCAAAAGGTAAAAAAATGTTAAAGTATGTCTGTCCCGAATTCGTAATTTAAACTTTGATGTTTATTTTCTTTAATAATATTAACGTTTAATCACTATTCCTGTTGTATCGTGTACAATGACGAATATCTCTCATATATCAGCTTTCGAGTTGTTACGAGTCATTATGACGGGTTACGGCTTCTTAGAGAGCATATTATGTATTCGCAGTTTGATTTGCCCATCATCGCAGTGTAGTAATACGTTGACAAATGATTATTGAAAGGACTTACAAAATACTGAATAAATATTTATAAATTAGCCCTCGAGTAAAAGATAATTATTTTTGGTTAACGATTTTGCTGTTGCGAAACGAGAGGCCGAATATGTGTACAAATTAATATTACTTTTAGTGAGTTTATGAAATGGTAGTATTTATTTTTGATTTCATAACTAGTAGTTTTATCGATGTTGGTGTAATTTATATTTTATAATAGTCTAATAGGTATACTTATAGGTACTGTGTTTGCTTAAAAGTTGTTATTAAATATGTATCGCTGATAATACTGATAAATAATTTTAAATTAAATGAGTGAATGCATTGTAACGTTTCCTTGTTTATTTTTTTAATGAACAAAGTTAATACTCAGTTTTCTAAATGGTGTGTAACGATTTTCCAAAATATGTATTTGGGAAAAAGTCAAGTGACAAGTGTATACAAATTTCTTCTCTTTAAATTACTATGTCTTAGATAATATCTCAGTGAAATTGATTAGAATTATTTTTATTAGAAACTATATGATTATTTAGCTGTATATAGAATGAGATATTGAGCCCAATAGTAGCAAAATATTATTCGATTTGTGAACTATTCACAGTATTTAAATTTTACAAGTTTTACTCTAAACTTAAAATTGAGATAAAAGCATTAAAATGTGTGGAGAAAACTTTATATATTACATAATAAATATCTTAATTAATATTTTAATCAGTATAGTAGTAATTACAAATTTCACATAATTATAAATATGAAAAAGTAGATGGTTATAGTTTTTACAAGAAGAATTTGTGCTTAACAATGTTGAGAACCATTATTTTGGAAATTCTACAGTACCATAGGTAGAAACAATGTAATCATATAATCCTTGCAGTCGTTTGCGAATACGTTTCTGGTCGTCGAGTGTACAACCTAAAACCACTTTTTCGAATGCAATATCATAATTGTGTCCTGATGAACCACAGGCGTCTAAGTATGAACGACAAATAGATCTTGCATTGTCGGGATCCACCTGTATCAATTTTATAATCTTATCAATTGATGAGTTGACATCTCGCAAACAATTTTGTTGGATTTCATCCCTGGTAGTGTGCACCGTGATCTGGAGGTCGTTACATCGGCTGATAATACGTTCAGCTCTCTGGTAAACTTCATCTTTTTCGGCTGTACATTACAATAAAATACAACAATATAAGTATCAATATTGAAATGGTAATCGGCGGCTTAATTAAAAAACGCTTTTACTTTTTAATACTTTTTTGTTCAAAATGCGTTTACTGTATAATTTTAGGGGAAGGGGGGGACTATTTGAATACTCGAATAATTCTCTTCACTACATCGTCTTAATAATAGAATGGATATTTTACTTTGAAAAACGCATCAGGTACTTTATTGTAAACAAATATAAAGGAAATGCTTTAGTGTTCTTCAGCAAAATCGTCATTTTGTACATACATTTTTTAATTAAGCCATCGAAAATTGAAAAAAAAAAACAAATGTATTTTTGTTAACTATAGTATTTATTGAAAAAACAATGTTAGGTAGTAGGTACTTTTGACTATTATTCCAATAGAATACAGAGCTATAATACTATTCAAAAAGAGTATCTATATCCAATGTACAGATTTCGTGCCATTATTAAAACTTATACTAAACACTTGTTAACAAATTTATCATTTCAATAGTATTACACGACATTAAAAATTATTTTTATGGCAATCTCAAATACCAGAATCTAAGTTTATTTTTCATTCATACAAAAACATCGCCTAAATAAGTAAAATGTTCAACCTCTACTAAGTGAAAATATTAATTATACCTTCTTAGTTTTTGACTGCAGGTCTGTAGGGCTACGTGGAAAGATAAATAAATGGTAGTAAGGCGGAACGGATATGAATATAGAACCATAACAAAAGTAGAAATATCAAAACAGATGGACATGCGAGTATGAAAATGTCATAACCAAAAATGTGTGTCGTGCATGACATAAATTTAAAGTGACTTACTAGCAGTAAAGTTACTTAGTGAGCAGGAATTTTTTATAGAGTCTATAGATTTGCATACATTATCAATTTCTCCTTCCATTTTAAATATTAGTTGTCTCATTTCTTCGACGACTGTTTCTGCATGCTCCAACACATGTTCGACATGTTGTTTTGCTCTAGAATGATCATCATCCTCATTCGACATGTTCACTCTCCGGCGCTTCTAAAAAAGTCACAAAATTAAATATTAATTTTACACATTAACAGAAAACAAGAATTTTCGTTTGTAATATGTAAAGATCAATAGGAATTTGATTTCCCGAAATGTCTTCTAATGTCTGTTTCTAATAAAAAATGAGACCAACCAGCCAAAGCCCATCTCTCCGCAAATTTTTATCTGTTCTCCCTTCTTTCAACATGACCAGCCCATCTTAATCAATCTACGTCTTCCCATTTTTCCTGTTGTTTGCGTAACTTCCAAACTTCCTCTGATGTTTCATTCATTCATTCACTTCCTCTAGTCAAACCTAGTAATATCAACATTTTCATTTTAGCTACTTCCATTTTCTTTCATATTTCTTGTCCAGTTACCAACATCCATTTCCATATATTATACATTATTGCTAACCTTACTGCATTACTTACTTTTATCTCCGATTGTTGACAGCTTTCTGTCACACTATACATTCTATTGCCTATTTCCATCTCATTTAACTACACTTAATTTCACTCACCTATTCAAATCTCTGCACACTAGTTTACGCGCCTTCATACAAATCCTCTATCATTTTACACATTCATTCTACGGACAATTTTTATTTTAAATGTTTTAAAATGTGTACCCTCCCCTTCCGTCCCCTGACCAAAAATTGAGCTCAAAAGTAACATAAAATGTATTTTTCGGTCTTCAAGAAACCTCTGCCAATACTCGCCAAAATCGGTTCAGTTGTTAAACCGTAAAGGGATAACGAACAAACCTACTTTCACGTTTACAATATTAACTTAAGATATGGATATAAGTATGAACCAAGTTATGTTATGACAATAATTATGCATTTTGACGTATTAAAAACCGTATGGTTCAATACAATTAAAAGACCTTATTAACGTCTCTAATTAAAGTTTTTTTCCAGAAAAAAAAAACACTATTTTTTTCTAATTTTGTAGAATATAATGTTTTAATTTTGTGACGACTGCTATACGTGGGTTTGTACATCACTGAAATATATATTAATCTTATCAGTAAAAGTAGCGTTAATGTATTATGAATGTAACCTGAGATTACACAATACAAGAATTCATTAGATAATTCCGAATTGAAGTCTATAACAGTAGGTACATTTAAAACGGATGTTCCTGACGAACTGACGAAAACATTACGGTATGATATTACGTGGAAATAATAGACATGTCTTGAATTACTGAGTTGTAGTATTTTATTATTGCCATACGAATAAATAAATACAATTATTATAGTTAAATATATATGTACATGAAAAAAGTGTTAACTAAATAGAATCTATATAGCTATAGACATAAGTTTATTTTTAGAAATTACAATAAAATAATATATGATGCAAATATAATTACAAAATCAGTCAAAAAAAGAGTTTTATAATAATAGTGATACACATACAAAAGAATAGTTGTATCTATCGTGTTAATACTTTTTTAGATCTATAACATATAATTTATAATACGTAGTACATTTATTTTTATATCAGAGTAATGATTATAATGTCTCCGTAATACCGGGTTACTTGGGACTTTAAGGGTAATTTGGGACTTGGGTAAAACACTATATATTCTTAATATATATATATTGTTTTACTCATGTCCTAAATTACCCTTAAAGTCCCAAGTAACCCGGTTTTACGGTACCTAACAGTTAGAATAAAATACAGCTACGCCATACTAAAATTTGTATTTTCAAAAAGATAAATCTTACTTGACAACGGGTCCCATGGATAGAAGTATCTACCATTTAAAATGCACAGGTGAACACGACTAAAGCTAATAAATAAATAACTATAAGTTGACCTAATGATTAATATTTTGTTAGCTAAATAGTCTTCCCACCGGCCGCCCGATAATATTATGATAATATTATAATCATAAAATAAATACTCCGTTTAAAAAATGGTTGAGTAAAAAAAATAATAATGATTATGCATTATCTATTTAAATTTATTGCGGACGAGTTTACTGTAAAACGTACAAACCAATATTAAGTAAGCTACATATTGTTTTTACATTTTAGTTGAACTTCATACTTTCTTTAAACGTAACATTTATCCTATTTATTGACAATCACCCCAATTATTACTTCTTGTTAAGTAGAAAACAATATAAATAAGAAAAATGATACTAATAAGTAATAACATGCGTATTCTAACAATTGTAAAATTAAATGACTAATTGAATATTTTAATTATATTAATTCGATTTAAAGAAAATTATTTCCGATTTTTATTATAATTATTAAAATAAATATTACAATTCAATTTACAAAAATAATTTTTTTTCCAATTTAACTATACTAATATGCTTACAAATAAAAATGGGTATCATACGAATACTCTGGATTCTAATTAAGGTAAGTATTCGAAAATTAGGATCCGAATAATTTACCTATGTGTATTTAATTGTAGATTAGTTCTGAAAAATGTTGTAGATTTGTGACGTTATGAAAAATGGGTGTGTGTTTTTATCTCCAGTTTTAATAATCATACTTTTAAATTTCTCAAAATTAAAAAAAATATTTCTGTGATGTTATAAATTGTAATCATCATTCATAGTCATAGAATTTTCACCCAGCATGTTTAGCACCAACGGAAAACCGTTATATAGTTATGTATTGGAGATGGAAAACGTATACCAGATTATCGACTGATTCATAAAATTTGATATAATTTTCTTTACAAATGTTGTATACTTATTTTGTGTTCATATAATAAGCCATACACTAAATTTCAAGTTTCTAAACCTATCATAGCTTTCAAAATGCATATATATATATATATATATATATATATAAGTGGATTTTGAAGACTATGATGATTGACGATTTTAAAAACTAAAAATTCAGTCGTTAACCAAGGACACACAAAGTATCCTCAGTCAATGCATTCTTAAGACATTTCTTTTATAAGACCCCATGAATCAATTAAAGTATTCCTATAAATACATGTAGAAAATGTGAGGGTTGGATAAGGGATTTAATTTTTCTCGTAAAAAACTCCCGAAAATATGTCTTTTTAGGCCCTCAACCAAGATTATACCCTTGAATAAGAATATAGAAGCGCCTGGTACCACGTGTTTATACTATAAAATTAAGAGTTTATACTGTGCGATATTTTTTTTAAACTCTTACAGGGATAAAAATTAATTTTAAAGTTTAGGATAAAAAAACGCTACAGAAAAAAAGGCAATTACTAATTAAAACCAATGAGATATTGATTGGATCATATTTAAAAAAAAAACACCCTATATATAGATATATATTTATAAATATATTATATAGATACCCAATATATTATATATATTTTATAATTTAATGGGATAGTTGTAAACAAGTGAGGAAAATGTAAATGCGATAATATGTTAACATATTGAATACAAATAGAATACTTTTTGTATTTAAATTCGCCTCATTTGTTAACAATTACTATATTTGATCTTGTATTTATGTATATTTTAATTTAACACTGCACATAATATAATGGTAAAACAATAATATTATATCGCTTACCGAACTATGCAATTCGGCGAAAAAAAAAGATTGACACGGTTGTTAAATCACCCCAACTTCCCCTTACTGTAATCGCGTCAGCGATTGAAAGTCACAAAATTATAACTGCCGTGCTGGGTTATCTGTTACATGCATAGCCTCCCACCGACCATAGTTTTTATTGCCAATAAAGTGTATAAAACACAACAAAATAACTCTCACGTTTCAATTGTTGGCCATGACGATTGCCATAGCTCATCTTAGTGATCTTTCATCTCGATGTCTTGGAAATGTATAGAATAACTTAATAATAAATTATTTATCAAGTATATTAGTACTTTAGTCTTTATGGTCATCAAAACGTAGCCGATGTTACGTTGACGTTATTGCAGTGGTCGGTGGAGAATAAAACGATAACAGTTAATAAAATATATCGAATAAAAACGTAGAACCGGTTTTTTTTTCGGTGCAAACTCAAGCCAAGAATGACGGAAGGTTAGCCTCTTAATGACGGCATATAAATGCAATTCACAAGGGCACGTTTAAAAGTGACGTTCAATTCATTGTGTAAACAGTAAGCGGCGCGTAGTGGTCTAGACCCGTAAAATCCCAGTCAAAAAAAAAAAAAGGCTAGAGAGCCTATATAAGATAAGTAATCTTTATTTTCTTTAATTGGTAAAAATAAAAAAAAATGGTGGGGTTTGAAAGAGGAACAACGGTGGCTATCGACCCTCTCCTATGTAGTGACTTTTTTGATGACAAATAAATTGTGTATTTTCATCATAAAATATTTTTTTATTATTTTGATATAATTATTATTTTGTATTATAAAACTTAAAAATATTATGGTGTTAAAAGCATAATGGTGCTTATTAAAACATTTAAGGAATAACTATTATGAATGTAAAAATTAATTAATGATTTCACATGTGTACACATGCGCTATTTTGATAAAAATACATATTTTATTATACAAAAAACGTTTAGGGGATTGCATGCGGTCTGTTCAAAGCCAGACAAAAATTCGACTAGTTAAGATAGTTTGATTTTAATTCTGTAAAGATATGCGAGTTCTTTGGTAACTTTACTAGGTAATGAAGGAAACAGATATTTGATTTTTTTTCTAAAAAAGTTGGGTTAATAATGAAAAAAATGCAAATTGAATTAATTTAATTACAAGAAACTGACATTTTAAAATAAAAATCTGCTTCCTGCATAACATAATAAAGTAGCCAAAGAACTCGAATCTTTTTACAGAATTAAAATTGGACCATTCTTTGTAGTCGAAATTGTGTCTGGCTTTTTGGCTTAAAATAAACCAAAATGGCTATTACTCATATAAAACATTATTTAAACTAAAAATAATACCTTAAAGCTTATACAAATTTACCGGTAACCGAATTGACATGGTCGAATTTATTAAAACTTCTTTCTTTTTTTCTTAAATATTGCCTATACTAAACTCTTTAAAAATAGCCCGCATGCATTCTCCTTAACCAAAAATCTGAAAGAATCGATCAAAGTTGATATTTTCAAGTACATTTTTGTTAAACTACCCGGTTTTATATTTTCATAGGCTTCAGAGAACCTAGTTTTGTGTAGGATGAAATAAATAAATTTGAGTAACATTTACTACTCTATTTTCTTAGAAAGAATAAGGATTTTTTTTGGAACATTTAGTTACTTAAAAAATAGCACAAAAAGAAAATTTTAAACAATGTATTGTTGTAATAAAAAGTTATATTTTATTAAAACTTAGAGTACAGAAAATTAAGTACAAATAACATCGGCATGTTTGGAAGAGAGTGGTGGCACTGATCTGTTAACTCTTGGACCAAAGCCATATTGAGCAGTGTTTTAGAGGCTGATTAGTCGAGCTAGCCTTATTGTAAACGGCTAGTAGCCATAGAAAAAAACAAGAGTAATGGAGTAAGAATATGGAGCGAAAGTAAAAATATAATTTTTCTATTCAAATCATTGGTTTCCCACGAAAAATCGTATTTTCGTGTCTACCCTCCCGTCAATTGTGATGGATTGATATGGCACAGACGAGTGAGGAAATCGTGGTTCATGAATTCATCTATTACGCGAGAAAGGTGTCATTCATATTATCTTAAAATGGCTTTTCATTTTTTTTATATATGTATATGATTAAAGGTTCAGTTCACAACCCAAAGAGTCATTAGAATGCAAACGCGATGTACATCACCACTATTTGATTAAACCATTATAATTTATAAGTTATCACGTGGGCAATTGTCTAATGTTCTTATGAAATGTTATTATGATAATATTGATATGATATGACCATATTATGATGTATAAACTATAAATGTATAATCTTACCCGGTTAGAAAATACGAAGCAGTCGCCTGTCGCTGGCAGTACAACATGTAGGTAATAAACAACTACTAGAAACAACTTTCTGTTATCAAATCGAAAGCGCCGAATCTGTCAATAATGTAATAATAATAACTATTGATTAAGTTTTTAACGGACCAAAACACGCAACTGCGCACGGCCGGTCGCGACATCTGGTGATACCGTGACACAGACTGCAACAGCAGCCATAGGACACAATTATTGAGTGACACAGAAAATAATATATGAAAATTGTTTCACATAGTCGCTGTCTGTGTGTGACACGTTGGTTCGAGCCTCGATATCATATCATTTTATGTTATCAAGCTAAAAGGTACTTATATTTGGGCGTTTAAAGGATAATATTCCAATTTCCATTGAAACTTTATTTATAAATTATAAATAAATAATATAATAATAATAATATACCTAATATTCAACAATATATTAATTATTATAAATTATATAGGGAAATAAACAGTTTTCTTTAATTTTCCAAAAGTTGGGTGTTGAGGAATACTATCGCTTCTCCACTCAACTGTTTAAACAAGCTGGCTTGACGTACGTCGGAAACCCACTCTGATCTAGGACAGCCTAGGATAAATTATAATTCCCATCCCACTCTAAAATTGACATATTTTATAGTAAAAAAAAAGACAGAAAGTGCTTTCCATCTATCCACTTTTTAAAAATACCAAAATAGTCGCAAAAACGGAAAATGGCAAAAAAAAATTTCAAATTGCTTTTTTTGGGATAAAAAATGGTTTGATGTATAATTGCAAACATTTTTATTGTAAAATACAGACAAAATGAAAGGAAACTAACAATGCTAATGACGATTGCTTAGACGCTGCCAAATTCATTCAAATTTTAAATATCAACAAATAGTTTAAAATTTATAAAAATATTAATATATAAATGAACATTTTAATAGTTTATACAATCATTAATTAATTGGCGATAACGCTTGTACTTTGGCAAAACATTTTTTTTTAATGATTTTTGTATCAAAATGATTCTTAAAGATTTTGTGCTGTTATTGTTTTTTTTTCTTAATATACAGGCCATAGTCCATACTCCAGACAGCCAATATCCTCTTAGCTGCTATTATAGTATTCCAAGCGGCATAACAACCCAATCCTTGGAATTGCTGCGCAACTTCATTGTCGAACTCCTGTTTCTCCACGAGTGGCCTTAATACGTATCACCTACAGTGGCCTACGCACGTCCACGGTTTATAAGTATTATTTTAATATAGTATTAATATTATAAATTATTCAATAAACATTTATTTAGGTATTTATAAACTGTCATTAATTTATCCAATTACCTATTACATTTTTCCTGTAGAAAAATGAATAACTACGTTGTTATTAGGTCAGTAATATTATTGTTGATGTATTTTATAATAAGTGCCTGTCTACTAAAAAACAAATGCCTGAATGAAGTTGAGATTACAGTGTTATTTGATAATAATAATATTATAAATGCAATCAATATGACAATACATAAATGATAAATAAATGATTTCTAACAATATTTAAACAGTTGCACTGAATGGCGAAAACACTCGTCTTAAGCAATATAGATAATTGACTTAAACCTTATTATACATTTATACCAAGTAATAAAAAATTACATGTTATGAAATATCAGATTTTAAAATATACAAACAAGCGATGCTATACACAAGAACGGCGACCAATATTGTGCGGTATTTCCTGCTGCAGCTGCCAACAGGGGTACCTCCGTCATAGTTTATGGACAGACTAATAGTAAAATATGAAGAAGGTACCTCTGTTGACGACGGAAATCCTGCTTATTGGTTGCCGTAATATATAGGTAGCCCGTAGCACCGCTTATCTATAGGTACCTATATCAATCAATGTAAAAGCTAATAAAATATTACACATTTGATTGTATTTAATTTAAATAAAAATTAAAACATTTATATTAATCATTATTATTTGATTTGACAAACATTTATATTCTTATTTAATGTTAAATCCACAGAGTTTCACACCATACGATGATATAGTTGATATAAGATATTATACTATAATATGACATAACTGATATTATTTGTCAAGACAACTCACAAGTCACAAATAATTGAGCCTATTTTGTTATATGCATAAAATCTATCTTCTCTTCTTCTACTATATAAGAATCTACCCCGAAATTCCGGACGAACGGCATATTGTAAAACAACGATATTTTTCCAATCAGTCAATATTTTGGTTTCATTAGTAAGAGTCGGGAGTCCTGGTGTCGAAAATTGTATAACCGAAAATTATGGCCAATTTTTGAATTTTGATTATGCCAACTTTTTTATGTTTGTCAATAAGGTATATTTTTTAACGTACAATTTGTTTAGTTTAAAATTTGTATAATCAGAGTAGTGCAGTTTTATTTAGGTAGGCAATTTAAAATGTTTTACCTGTACATGCCTAAACAATACTAAAAGAGTTAAAGATTTTAATATTTTTAATTATGAAATTGTAAATACCTATCAAGAAAAAATATATAGGTACTTTAAGATTAATTGTTATAGTAAATGATTCGTGAATAAAGAAGTAGAATATTGTTGTTGTTATCTAAGAACCAAGCTGAGAAGTTCTCGTGAGGTTCAATTTGTAGGTACTAAAATAAAATGTGAAAATATACAAAGGTTTTATGGACAAGCAAATGGTATGCCTATTTGGATATGAAAAGGAATTCCTAGGTAGGTTTTCCAAGGTATTCCCAAAAGGGAACACCAAAGGGATGCTACTAGGGCTAATACATGTATTACCATCAATTCACATAATACAATTAAGTCAAGTTTACGATTTTAATCGCTATTTTAGGGCCGGCCGATCCCAGGAAATCATTTAAACTTTTGCCGCTAGGCCACTGTTTACTCTACTTAAGACAGAAGATATTCAAAAATTATAAAATATTTTACAAAACATCTAGGTACTTAATTTATTTAATAATTTCATAATGAATTTAATTTAAAAAAAAGCTAGAACAGTGGAACAGGGGTGGTCTCATATCTTTAGGAATTATTTTAACTGAAAGTGAGAAACAGATTTACATCGAAGCGTTTATTTGAAAGTGATTTTATCACTATTAGTTATTCCTGTAGACCTGTGACTTCTCCCGTCCCCACTATGCCCGAATCCACTAAAATGTTTTTTTTTTTTAAATTGCAACTTGCTGAATTGTAATCACTCTACTAGAAAGGAAAATTATGTTGAACGACCCTATGGCCTTAAGTTGTAAATTAATTAACATAAAAAAATAAATGTCTGTTAAAAGAAAAACTACAAAATAGTATTTTCCTTGTATACAGGGTTTCCCGAAAGTCTTACCGAGCCTAATTGTAGGGTAAAATGTTGTCGATTTCTATAGTTAAAAATTTCGAAGTGCATGTCAATTTCTAAAATATTGCCATAAAATAAAATTCGATGAATAATGAACGAAATTCTACCTCAAATTGATTTTTCAGTTTTGCATTTTATATTCTTATTTTTAACAAGAGCATCCTATCTTTTTTTTATATCCGCATTTTGAAAGTCTTGCCCCAAGTATAGTTATTATAGGCATTCATAGACGATATTATGTTTGTATAGAACTATAGAATTTTTTGTTGATCGTAGTTAACATTTAAAACAGCTAATAAGACTTAGGTAAGAGTATTTATGGTAAGCGAAAAAAAAAACTATAATGTACCGATTGGCAACGAACACTGGAACAGCTGCGATACATAGTATATTATTATAACGATATAATCATTAGCCACATTGACTGCTCAATAATATAGTTTGATGCACTACATTACGGGTTTACCTAGTGCATAATTTAATGTTATACAGAACGTGTCTGACGTTGTGTTGTCAAGTTTACATTTGTATTAAATAATATCAATGTAGAAAATACAACAAGTAGACAACGTCAAATCGGCAGTACCTACATACTATGCACAAATTAGGTGTAATAAGAAAATAATTACTAGAATCATAATTAATATATATATATATACATATATTTTTTTGCATCATAGATATAATTTTATTAGGTACACGTCGGCAATGACGGCAGTGTGATAACTGATAACTGATAAAGCGCTTTCGTTATCTTTATTGTCGACCATTAACTATGGTCTATGATATTACTACACACATACACACACACGCCAACAAAAACAAATATTAAAATAAATATAATGATAATAAATATATATAATTTAATAATATAGTAGTAATAACAAGGTTTTACGGCAATCGCAATGCAAACAGTTTACGGATTTTTTGTTACTTATATAAGTTCGGTCCGACCCACACCAGGATTACCCGGCATTTAAAATATCAGTTGTGTCCGCAATATGGTTTTTAACAGTACATTATAATTTAGTGTTATTATTATTAAATCGGTATACTAAACATCAAGTGTCGCCTGTAAGAGTGTATGTGTTTAATTTTATATTCAATACGTTATTACCTATTACTATAATTGAATAAAAACAACACAACTTTCGTTCGCGTTGCTGTTATCGTTGTTGTTGGTTAATAATTAATTATACTTAATATCTAAGCGTGCAAAAGTGTGTTGAGCGAACGAAAAAAGAAACATTCAATTACAGTCAATTTACAATGTCCGAATATGATTCTGACAACTCTTCGGACAGTTCAAGCTTTTCGAACATTGATTTCTATGAAGGTAACCAAGGCCATGGCTGCCGATAGCTTGATTTTTGTAAACAAAACAGGAATACTTATAAATTTTTATTGCCGTTTTAAAATAAATTTTACAATAATAAGTTGATTATCACATGATTTTGACTTATAAAGTGCACTGTTATGTAAATTACGTAAAACTAATACATTCCAGGTAATCTATTTAACGTAATCTATAGTGACTTAATAGAAATGTCACTATAATATTAGCCATTGATTTTCTCAGATAATAATATTATGATATTTAACATTTTTGCTGATATTATTTTATAATTTGATATAATTTCTGTATAATATTTAACTTTTAGATTCAACTGAGCTGAGAAGGTATAGTTTTTATTTATTGTTTATTTTTGTGGAATCACATTGTCTATTAAACAACTGAACAGATTACTTCAGGTAGCAAGTCAATAAATCAAAAGTTGTACCCAAAAGATAGGTCATAAAGTACAAAAATGGAGAAAATGTGCACTTTCCTACATAAAAAATGTGCAATAACAAACGCTATAACTTTTTGGATATTTGTAAAATTTGTCTCAAACTTGTGATATACAGAAATATTCTTTGGATACAATTTATTTAATTATTTGTATGCCATTGTAATAGGGACACAAATTCTAACAGAATATTATACTTTTGAACCGAGAATAGTGTATAAAAATGTTGGCTGGTCGACCAGTTTTGGATAAATACATCTGAAGTGCAGATATTACCATTTGAAAATTTAGGCATGCGGAAACAATTTTTCTATGCACCTTTCTCCATATGCCTACACTTTTTAATTACTAAATTGTTAAAAATTAATTATTTAAAAATGGTTATTGTCCAGGTAATATATTTAACAAGTTATTCTTGTTATTATGTAAAATGAACAAAATATGTATGACCCCATTTAAGTTTTAAAATTAAGAAAAATACTACATTATTTAAAATGTCTTATTCCGAGAAAATTAGTAGCTTATAAATTATTTATAATATATAATAAGGTGGTCCATATTTGGGGTGTGGATAAATTTCTGATTAGAAGTTCTTTATTTTAGGTTGAAATACTTTCAAACAAATTTTACAACTAAACAAAAAAAAAATTGTTTATCGTTATTTAGCTAAAATTATATTTAAAATTTGTAGTTCAAAAATTGATACCAGAAGAATATAAAACTAAGGTCGATCAAATCAATGAAATACTTCAGCGCGAAAAAAAAGATGTTGATGAACTAAGAAAGTTTGCACTTGCTGAAGGAGGATTAGTTAGTGGTCAGTAAAAATGTTGATTTGTGTTTGTACAAGTTGTTATGTTTGTAAACATTTTTTTTTTACTTTTTAAAAATTAGGGGTGGTGCGATCTGAAGTATGGCCACTATTTTTAAACTTGCCTAATGAAAACAAACCATTATTAGATGAGGAATCAATAAACAGCCATCCGGAATACAATCAAGTTGTAATGGATGTCCGGAGGTGTTTAAAAAGATTTCCACCTGGCATTTCGCATGAGAAAATTGGTGATTTACAAAAACAACTGATAGCAATTATATTGAGTATTATTTCTGAACATCCCGAGTTAAAATATTACCAGGTATTGAATTTGTTTGATTAATAATACATTCTTTAATATTTTATGTTTATATAATAAACCTAGGCTCTAGCTTTGAGGTTTTCGGGTAGAATTTTCAAATTTTATTTATAATATGTTATATATAAAAATAACAATGAATCATGAGAAAATAATATTAATTTAAAATAACTGGCATAGTCAATAACACTATTATTACAATAATTCTTGAATTACACATTTTTATCTGTATTATGACATTATTTAAAAGGTCTAAGTATAAAAGTATAATATTAAGTATATACACTTGTTAAAATAGTAATTATTGGTATAGATCTTACAAAATTAATGTTGATTACTGTTATTATTATTATTTTAAATTTGTCCAATTAAGTTGATAAAACAGCAACACTTATTGTAAAAAAGACACATTATATGATATTTGTTATAGGGTTACCATGATGTCGCAGTTACATTCCTAATTGAAGTTGGTCAAGAAAAAGCTTACAGCATTATGGAGTATTTATCATTAAATCATTTAAGACTGTTCCTCATGCCAACAATGGAAGAAACATCATATTTGTTATTGCAAGTTTTTCCTTTAGTTTCGGAGCTCAATCCAGAATTGGACTCTTTCATTTTGAAGTAATAAATCAATACTAATAATACTTATTTTTTTGAATGATGAAAACAACAATTGTATGAAGCTGACATTTTTTTTTAGGTCTGGAATTGGTACAATATTTGCTTTACCGTGGATATTGTCGTGGTTTAGTCATAGCTTGAGTCAGCACAAAAAGGTAGTTAGACTATTTGATTACTTCTTGGCATCGCCTAAAGAGATCATTTTGTATGTAATTGCTCAATTAATAAACGTGAGGAGTGAAGCGGTTTTAAGTGTTGAATGCGATATGGCTAGTGTTCATGCAGCTATTTCAAAGGTATCTCATTTGTGTTAAAAATATAAGTTAATTTTTTATTATTTTAAATTACTTCTTCTAGATTCCTGAAGATTTAGATTTTGAAGACATACTATTACGGGCTACAAAAATGTTCTACGATCACCCACTTTCTGAATATAAAAATGAAGTTGAAAATAGGGTGAAACTAGAGTGAGTAACACCACGACTGTTAATTTAATTAATGTGTTAATTGATTTTTTTTTTTTGCCTTGTCATAATTTAGAGCCGACTACTTAGCCAGTTTAAATGACGATTATAGAATGCGAAAACATTTAAAAGGCATGAAATCCACTTTACCACCGTTTAAGAATGCTTTCAACTATGCACCGATATGGCGTATACCCAGAATGAGATTTGGTTTGTTATTCTTTGGATTCAGCGTGGCTGCTGGTTTATGGGCTATGATGAGGACAAGTAACAATTAAATCTCAAAATACCAACCCCATTAAAAACGAAATTGTTGATCCATTCCAAATAAAGTGCTATACACAAGGGACCAAATAGACTGATATTTATTAAAGATATTGTATTTATTGACATTATGTGTATGTATTTTATTGTTTTAGTAATTTGATGCTGTGGAGCATGATCAACGATGCTCCTCACATAAGTTTGTTAATCTCGTTTTCTTTTTATTCATTGTTTTATTTTTAATTATTATTATTATTACCAAAATAAATTTGTTTTTCTTAAATTGTTACAATAGTTTATGATTTTGATAAATAATTGTGATTTAAATTTATTTTTTATTGACGCAAACGTTTCGTGAACTACATTAATTGTTTTATTATACCATTTTGTGAACTTATTACTCAATGTTAATTATATTCGTTCTATTTAATTTTGTATTGTTATGATAGCTTAAATACATATTTAATATCATTTATATTTATTTAATATATTGTATCCTTATCTTATCATTTTACTCACTCTTTGACAATTTTACCACAATCGCAAACATGTTTAAATATTTTCAAAATGTCAAACATGTGTTTTAATATTTTGTGAATATGTTGTAATGCTATTTTAGCATGAAATTTAAAGTTTCAATAAGCTTATACAACATTTTGTAAACACTTTTTTTTAAACAGAATTAGATAATATTAACAAATATTTGCTGTTTGTGTACACTGTCATCACTAATAATTAATAAGGTATTTTTTGCACTGCTAACTGCCAAGTTGCTCTTTAATTGATAAATTTTCCATTAACCGATTTTGACACGGTACCGTGGCTATGTTATCTTATCTCATCACCCTCTGCTTCCCCTTGCGACAACCGGTGGACGGCTTTGCTCCACTAGGCCGACTCAAATGGCTGGGGTGCAAAGTCCGATTACCCGGCCATCATGTAGACTGACATTTAAAGAATATTTATTCTCTAACCCAACTATTATACTTTTTTTAAAAATTGTGCTGTCTTAATATAGTTTTATAAATATAAATTGTCTAGGGACTACTTCCGTACTACATTTATCTATTATGTGGTACTACTATGAAACCATTTTGAAAAAATTGATTCTCTTCAGTTCCTATCCCTTGTTACTTTTAAGTGCCGTTTCGTTAATTTTGTTTCTGCATCCCACGCAATCTTTACTAATTTCTGAAAAAATTGCCCAGAAGTCCGTTAAAGTTGGATATTTGTTTAATTTTGTTGTTTCATACTAATCATACATACATGTTCTTTTTAAGTGATAGAATGTACTATACTAGTATATTATTAGTTTTGATCCGGATCTGACAAGGTATTGTTTGAACAATGAAGCGGTTTTATTATTTTTTTACTAGCGATATCTTTTAAAACCACCTAATTAATTTCCTCACGTAGCAACTCTATAAATAAATAACCTGAAAGGTACTTTATTGAGACAAACATCTCAAAAGTTCACCATTTGCCATTCAAAATTAATAAAAAATATGTAGATGTTTTACGACTCTTTTTACTTTTTTTTAAATAGACGAATTACATAGTTTTCTTTATAAATATTCTTTAGACATAGTACTATTGATAACTTATCATAAAGCTTTTCCCCTTGGTGGGGTGAAACTTTTTTTTCTTGCTTTTTAAGGTATAGTTTTACTGTTTTAGGGCTGAGGTCTGAAAAATGACTAAAGACCTACAGTGGTATAATAACATAATATACGTTCCCTAAAACCTGTAGTTAAAACGTTTTTTTTTTAATAAGGAAAAACCAAACAAAAAGTTCCCAGTAACTCAATATATCTAAAGAATATTCCATACAAATTTAGCCGAATTCGATTATTTTTGAAACTATTATAGATCGCCGTAAATTTTTAGTTGAAAAATATGTCAATTTTTTTTTGTTTTTCTCGAAATCAAAGGTGAAGGGGTGAACTATCAGGTACGATTTTTGATCTATAGACTAGCTACATGAAGAAATCGGTTCTCCGACTTAAGATATCGTGGATAAACAGACATAAAAAACCAAACTAAAAAATATAGCCTTCTTCTCAGCTCCGCATCGAAGCTAAAAGTGAAAAATTTAACTTTTACTGTGTTATGAGAGAGTGAATTAACTGTCAACAGACATTTGAAAAAATGTTCAACACAATATTGTTAATTATTCACCCATGTGTAATTTTAAGCATATTTTTAAAATTTGTAATCTTATTGTCTAATAATAATTGTTGAATTCAAAGCTGATTTCGATAATGACCTAATATATACATATATATATATTTATACACACACACACGTTTTTTATTACATTAGCTGAACTTTTAACAACTGTTAGAAGTGTAAGCAGCAAGCGAAATTGTACATACAATTTAAAGTTTTCTTTTAACATTTTGCTAAAAGTGAATAATATATTATGGTTTATGAAAAATGATACTATTTGTCTGTTAAATAGGTGTTAAGTGTTATCAAATTCTCAAGTCGCATAATGGTTATTTAAAGTTAACAAAAAAATAAAAATGGTTACAATAATAATAATTAAAAAAACGCTGTAACATATTTAGAGGTTATATCAATGAAATATTACTATAATAACAATTGTATACCCAACAATAATAAGTTAAAACTTAGTGTGTTTTGAATCCATAACTAATATTTCAGTTTCTATTCTAGGTTATACTGAGCAAATATAATGTATCTGTCCTAAACACCGTAAAGTATTTAGCCTAAGGAACAGCTTTAAAAACTTATTAGTGAACATTAAATTGATCAATAGCTCTCTTGACATTCCCTTAAAATCACAAGGAGTGTTTTTTCGTCAGTCTGCGGACTAAAAATATGATAAACTATCATTTATAATTTTTCCATGAGTTGACTAATATAATCCATCACTCGTTCATCGTGTAAAATTGTCATATGATCGGCACCAGGAAAAACTTGATGATATACTTTTTGCTTTTGCATAGTAGCCCAATAAACACAACCTTCGAGGCTTCTCATGTTTACAGTACCATCACCGTTGCCGTATTTTATGTCGGGATATTTATCTGGAAATTTACCAGGTCCATAAACCAATCTAAAAACAAAAAAAACGAAATTTGTTAGTGAGAATATTCCATAGAAACTGGAACTGTCCACTCACTTTTCGACTGTAGTAACGGTACTACCATGCAGACAATGGACTTCGACACCGGGAGGTCCGAAATCTTTGTATTTTCTTATGTCTTGCCACATTTCATAGCCTGTTATATAATTAATGCCCCTATAAAATATTGCTTTATCAAAAATACCATCTCTCGTAGGATCACTAGTAGGTACGGTAATAATATATGCATACTCGAAAAATGATTTGTAATTGCTAATGGTAAAATTTGTTTTTTCAGTCTGAACTAGTACATCATCTGGTTTCCAAAAAAAAGGGGACGGCAATAGCCACGCTAGACTAGGTGAAGTTATTTGTTCTGCTTTCAAAACACTACCGCTGAGTACATATACTCCTAAGTCATCGCCTGTATACATCAAAAGCAATACAATAATTACATATTAAGGAAGTAGACGGTCATAAGTGAATAAGAACGTTTACTGGTAACAGACAATAGTGATTTTCATAGCATACCTACAGCGAAAACTTTTAACGCTTTGACGGCTCCACCCCAAGCACCAGCCAAAGATACCAATGCTCTGATGTGTTTGTCTTTCCACTCTTGTGTTTGGTTGCGCAAAAATTGAAGAGACATACAGCCACCCATACTGTGCACAATAAAAACAACGGGCGTGTTGTTATTCTGAGCATATGTTTCTTCTGTTAGGGTCTTAAGCTTAATGAAAAATTCAGCATTTTCATCTGTTAAAAGTTTAAAAATTTAAATAGGTAAATATAAGTCATGAATTAATAAATATAGACAGTTTTTTTGGTCATACTCGGAGCTCTTCTGAAATCATAAGGAGCTCCTCGAATTGATACGTCTCTCTCTAGACCAACGCTGACTAATGCGTTGCCAATAGTTTTGAAGTAGGCTCCAAATGAGGTTAAACTTGGATCAATATATTCTACAGCAGTGGCGTTTCCCCATCCAGCTACTCTAATGTCAACACCAGGCGGACTATAGGTAGTACGTGTATTGTTATCATAGATCAGTCTCATATTATCTATCTAATAAAAAAACATATCATTGTAAAATCCTTAATACCTTCTCATTACTCATTGAAGCTAAAAGGTACAATGTTAATGTGATGTCTAAGAAATAATAACTTCAAATTGATACTCACCAAGCAGTCTATAACATATGGTACTAAAAGTTCTAGATTCAACCAAATGTTTGAATAATCCACGGTTTTTTTATCACATAAATAATGTACTACACTGGGTTTATCTAATTTTGCTTCAATTTGACTACCTCCATCGCCAGGAACTAAAAAAAAAAAAACATGAATCAATTTTTCTTAAGATATAAAATATTGAATTTAAATAAGCAAAACAAGTTACATATTAATTTTACTTTATTATAAAAAATAGCTTATATAATTTCAAATTGAATAAATGTTAATAACAAAAATGAAATAAATGTATTTATCATTATAACAAGCTTGCTGTTAGAGGCATAATTTTAAGAGACAGGATTGAAAGAAAAAATATGATTCTTAGGCTCAATATCAGGTTTTGATAAGGAAACTATTAAGGAGAGAGCAAACCCTTGGTTTCATAGCTTAAGTATATACAAGTATAGAAATTCAATAATATCACAATTTTTACTCTACAAGTATTCATTAAATACATAATATTGTTTTTAAGTATTAACCATTTATAACCAAGTCAAGTGCTAAACTGAATGATCAGTTTGAGTAATTCATAACTTTACCTAATCAAATAAATGTTATCCTATCTTTTACAGTAATTTAAATACCTAATCAATCATTTGTGAAATACAATACAATATTGTGTTTTTATTTTTGAGAACATTTCAATCATATTTTAAGTCACATTTATTTCAAGTTGTAAGGTAATCACAATTTGTTCAATTTAAGGAAATTTTTTTATACCAGACATGTTTAATCAACTTTTCAAGTCAAGAATTATCCAAGGGCAATATCATTTAGTTTTGAATAATTACTCTGCTGGTTATCATTTTTTTATAAGTGTAAGGTAAGGTATAGTGCAATATTTATGTTACTAACTGTTAATCTGCCACAATTTCTGGCTCATACCAAAATGGTAATAACTTCTTAAGTACCAAACTGACTTGAATTAAAAAAAAAACTTATAGAAATTGAAAAATACACATTATAAAAAATAATTATCTAAAATTAAAAAAAATTGTCATCAGAAAATAGCAAAGTGTCTTACGTCAAATTGATTAGCAAGTTTTTTAGTCAAATAACAGTCTATATTAGGTGGGTTTAAGAATTTTCCCAGGGATGGTCAATGTCATTAAAATGTTCTTAAGCCAACAACAATGGGTGAAGTTTTAGGAGACGATTGGGGCAGAACGACCTTAATCGTAGCATAATTAACGGGTACGCCGTTTCGTCAATAAAGCGACAGACACAAACACAAGCATGGTGTACTCACTCAGAATGACTGGATGTTTGATGGCCAAACAGGTCCCGTGTATGGAAAACAGCCATATGAAATAATTGAATATTACGACTTTTGGTAACATTATTCATTAGAAATAGGAACGGCCCGAATGCGCTTTAGGTGATAATGTTTTTGCCGCTATTGGCGTTTCGTTTTCGACAACAAGTCAGACGATGACGTTGAATGCGGTTTATTTTTATTATGTACCTTTGTTTTCGCCAATAATATTGGCAATGAGAAAAAAAATATTATTATTTATTATTTTAGCTGCAGTATCTACTAATCATATAATATTTTTCACAATATTTTGCTCTTATCTTATCAAAACAGTTCATCGCGCGCTCATAATTGCCGCAAATTGCACACATGGTTGGATTCCACACAACACAACCTTGCACCCATTGTAATATTACAGGCCTATTATGTAAAAAAAAAACGAATATTTATTTGATTGGCTGTTGCTGCTGCCTGGTGGCGAGTGGCGCCATAACGATTAAATACAGATAACATGAATTAATCATAATATAATATGATTTAATTAAAGGCCAATCGACGAATTTAACGAACTTATAGGTTTATACGTTTTAAATGCACTTTCGACGCGAATACGGTCATGCATAAAATATGTAATCAAAAAAATATCTTATTCTGACAGTAGGTACAACCCGGTAGATGTAGATTGTAGGTAATTGCTAAAATAACAATATATTATTATACATTTAGACTCAGGATGTGGGCAGTATTTGGATAACAGTAGTTGAATAAAGCACTAAAGCAGTTTGCACATTTTCATTAATAAAAGATTTTTTAGTATACAGAATGCAAAATTATAATAGATAAATATAAAACAGATATGGAAATGCGAATGTGTTGATTAATAATTAGTATTATGTGCATAGTGCATTGTGTTCTACTTTTCGAGACAGACAGTTTAAGGTTTAAGCGACACATTATCTTATTATTATAGCGTGCCTCTGAGCATTTAAATTTCATTTAATCAAAAAGTAGAATTTTGACATCGATATGGAGGTCATTCCGAAAATTTGTCCGTCACGTTTTGTGTCACAGTGCTGACGTCATGAAGTATGAAGGAGGATTATGGAGGTGTATTAATAGAGATCGTGGATTAAAGATAATAGATTAGAGATACTAGACTGCAGGACATACCAATGTATCGATGTATCTGCATGAAGTGTGGATACTCTTATAACTTCTTTTTTTCTTTTAAATTAATTTAAATATTCTTATAAAATTATTAACATATTACTTAATGTATAAATGTAGTATAAATCTGTTCAAGAAGTTTTACTTACTATTATATTGCCTGAGAAATTTCGATCTATAATTAAAGAGTTATATAGTATACTTTAAATTTTAAGATGTTATAAGGTTCAAGGTCACTCACCATTGGTGTCAGCGACACACGTAATATTTTTTTAAATATTTGAATTTTTTTTAACCATTTTTAATGAAGGTGTATAAAAAGTGATTAATTTAGGATAAGTCACTAATTTTCTCTTAAAATAATAACAATTTTGTTGGTTTTCCTTTGTGGAGACACTTTATGTTATTTTACTATACGTATTAAACAATATTCAAATTTGTTGATAACTAGGCTTGGATAAAAACTTTTGAAATTATCCACTAAAATTTAAAATTTAGGACGGGAAGTGGAATGAAGTAATTAATGCTTGCAGGTAAAAATAATAGTACACTCCATTCTATCTCCTGTTATTTAAACTTCTACATGTTAAACTTTAAAAGTAATTATCTAAGAATGGTTACTAATCAGTTACCAGCTGCAGCTAATTGTTCTTAATTTATAAAGATAATTAAATATAATTTTTTTTTTTTACTTGATAGAGCTCTAGAATTTAGAAAGTACTGAAAAAGGTAAACGTTTAATAAATTTAAAATATTGTAAAATTGCGATTATTGAAAATGATTATCTTTTTGTTAAAGTGATCACTCTGTATATTAAATATACAATAATATTAACCTAATAGAGATACCAACAAAAACCGATGATGTATACAGTGTATAATACTGTACACTTACAAAAAAACAAATTAATTTGTTTGGCTTCTGAAATTTTAGTAATGATGGCTATTTGCAGGTTGGTAATATTTTCATAATAAATTAAGTAAGCTAGCAAATATAGATAGCTAAATGTTTGTAAAATATACTTACAAACGCATAATATAGTATGTTATGTCAAACATAAAGAAGTCAACTATACTTTATAGACTTAAAATAATCGGTTGTTATATTTTATAAATGTAGCGATAGGTATACATAGTACATATTGCAATATTTTGGTTTATATAAACACAACTTTGTATAAGGTTTAATAATAGTAGGTAATAGGTAAATCCGTAAATCGTATACATTTAATTAGACATAGGTAATATAATATAAATTCTTATAACAATGGTAAGGTGTTTTTATGATTTTATATACTCGTAATAAATTCAATGCAACGTTCAAGGTTTAGCATTTTATATTATAGAAGATTTGACATGTTAAAAAGAGATCGTACTGGCATAATTTATTACTCTAAAGCTTAAAGTGCTTCTAGTATACTATTATAAACACTACAATGATTATAACATGGGTAAAACTTAAACAAAAAATTCGTTAACAACACTTAACAACAGTATCTATATATACCATAAATTTTATTTGTAAATTCTATTTTTGTAAGAATGTTTAGCCCTAATCACGTAATCAATTTAAGGCAAGACACTCATTTTCTTAAAAAAAATTGAAATTTTGTAATTTTTCTATTAGAAAACATTGTTATTTATGTCAAATGTTATTAATTTACTAAACGTAATTACGTAAACTTTTTTTTAGAATTTTTTAGAATTCAACGAATTTTTTAAACTTAAATGGTAACGTACATATTTAATTAACTTTATGAATTAAGAATAATTTGCTGAACATTTTGACTGGTAGCTAGCCAGTTTTGGATAGTTACTTCCAAAGTTATTTAAGTTAAAAATGTAAGGCTGAAAGAAGAGTGTAGTATTATTATTTATTTTTATCTGTGTGCATTACTCTACTACACTCCTAAATTTAAAACATTAACTAAAGTTTCTCTAAAAAGAAAAACTAAAAAATTGCTATTATTTTAATAGAAAATGTGTGTCTTATCCTAAATAAATCACTCATGAGTATATGGTAATTTAATATTGCCTAATGAGAATTTATCGCGATTGAGCAAACAGCGTAGAGGTACATAACGGTTATTCATGTAATTGACAAAAGTAAGGTAAGATGGGATTAACAATAAATTAGGTTTTATTTATGTATATTTTAGAATATATGTTAAACATCATATATTTTATTGAGTATATAATTTTAACAGCCTACCTACCGTGTATTATGTATTAATTGGAGTTATACATATCTCATAACTTTGTTTATTATATAAACAATTTATACCCTTTTCCCGAGTCTATACTTTACAATATGTTGACCCTGTGTCCGCTTCCATACGTGTTAAGGCGATATGGTAGTGAAAAACTTAAAAATGTTCGATTTTTTTTTAAACATTTTTTTTTGCCCTCTGGGATGTAAAGAACATGTGGATGGGTCGAAAAATTCGCTCTGAATGTTAAAGTGCAAGTTTTTGCACTTTTTAGACAAGTTGTACACTTTTGGAGCTTGCTTATGCTAACTTTTAATTTAAACAATTTTTTTTTCAAAGGGGAATTAGGGGAAAAAAGTTCGAAAGCGTAGGATGAAAAACAAGAAAGTTAGCAATTTCACTGCCATATTGCCTTAATGTATAGTATAACAATTTGCAGCCAAAATAACCAGTGTTGTGTCTGCTTGGTGTCCATCAAATACCTAAAAGTATAACAAGAAAAATAATTAGTAATTTAACACTATTCTAGTACTGTGATCATTGATCAACAATATTACAGCTCTTTTGTATAATATAAAACAGTTTTTCATTTTCATCATTATTGTACCTAAGATAAAATTTATCTTACATTACATTACATTACTTACCTAAGATAAAATTTAAAAAAAATCTATTTTGAGCACATTTTTTTGGAGGGAGCAGAGGTGAAATAACGCTCCTTAGCTTTACCGTATTTATGTTTATTATGTTACTGATATTTTTTCTAAATTTCGAACTTCTAGAATTGCAGTTTTGTTAAATATTGTACGACCCATGTTACAGAGATTTGAAAACTAAAGCTATGGGGTTTTTTTAAAGCCCAACCCAGTTATATCTTTTTTAGACATGCATTTATCCAACAAAACTCATATTTTTGAGTAAATACCCAACGAAAACGCTAAACATATTTTCCGAAATTTGTTGTTACATTCTTCATAACTTACGTTCTTGAGCCAAGGCTAGGTATATTTTCTACAACTTTGTGAATTTTACCACCGCGTTCCGTCACTTCATTCCAGTTTGCATAAAAAATGCTGCCCATATCTGATTTCCCAGCTACTGTAAAGCTATTCCAAAAATAAATAGTAATGATGAATATGTCCAGGGATTTGTCATAATAGTTACCTGATATTGAGTTGATTGGAGTGTGACAAAAATTGCCATGAATCGGTTAGTTTCTTGCCGCAAAGTTCTAACGGCGGATTTCCAGCTGACGACCAAATTTTTACCACTGCTATTCCACACCCTTTAGCTGTAATAAAAAAACAGTTATTGAAGTGTTTGCCCTATGCTGATGGGCAATAGTCTATTATTGTAAATTTCCTCGGAACGCTGTGCAAAAAAAACTTACTTAAAGGGTTTCCTTCTACCGCGAATGAATTAAAATTGAACAATACTTTATGGTCAGGCCTAACATTAATGAACCAATTACACGTCATTGTTATCATTCCTTTTGGCAATGAATTAATTCTCTTTGGGAATTTCGGACTTAGTATTTTTCCGGAATGTAAATAACTGATCTTACTGCCACAGTCTACAAAAACAAACGATTCGAATGATTCAAATTGAGTATTCGTACCGATAACAAACCAATACGATTAATAACCTACCGCCGATTATTGGTTTGGCGTCTTTGAAAAAATATCTAGCTTTGAAGCCCGTGTAAACGCCTTTGGAGTCTGTGTGCATTAGTACTTTTAAGCCTACAGCTCCCAAGTCCGACTCTAATGGTCCGGGTGTCGTCCTGCCACAGTATCTGCCCATAAATTGGTCCACGTTGTTCTCATGAACTGTGTAAATCTCTAGCCAGTCTTCGGTACAAACCGTTACTCTAAACACAATACATGTCCACGATTATTTGAATGAGGTGATTATTATGATATTAGTGGGGTATAATTATAATATTATAGTGTTGAAAATGGGTGGTGTAAAGATGCAATACATTGAGCTTAGTAGTAGACGATACTCATATGTCTTACCCGTATTGGGCGATTGATGTGTTAGATTTGGTGGTTTTGATTTTGAAGTGATCGAATATCAAAGTGATCTGTTCATCAGACGATAGATAGAAGATAAACGTACAGTCCAACCCGTTTGGATAGTAGTACGGATGTCTGGGCGAATTAAAGTATCCTTGTTTAATACAAGAGCTACGATAACTATAATGGCACGAACTGTCTGTTGCCGGGGTTCCCGGCACGAGGTACTCTACTTTTTGAGTTGATAGGATAACATAATTATTATTATAAAAAGTCATACAAATCTATATAATAAAGGAATTTCTAGTTACCTGGTATGAAAGTAAATTTGGCTTTAAAACCTCGACCTTCTATGTTTTCGCTACTGAAGACCAGAGCGAGCCTAGGACCATCGCTCTGAAACACCTTATTGTAAGTCTGCTCGCCACAAATTTCGTGGTCGAACAAGTCGTATTTATTCTTTTCTTCCTGACCTTTCAGGTATAATCTCAAGTAGCCATCAGTGCAACTAAATTTAACAAATCGATAAATGCCGCAAATAAAATTACGCATCCGACGGTCTGCTAGATTTTGTGTATGAAAAATATAAGTATATAATACATATATTTTTACCTCTGGTCCGTTTGGTCTGTCTTGGGTATATGCAAAGAAAGAAATTCTAATTTGACTATTTCCAAATCTTGTAGAGATTCTATACCGTATATGAAATATCGGCAAACGACGTTTTTCATATATGGAAGTGGATAATTCGGACTGTAAATATATCCGGACGACGCCTTCTTGCTCAATACTTTTTGATCGCATTCCGTACCTCGGATGTGCTCACCGTCTTTTTTCTCAATGAAATCTGTGAAATAGAATCGTCCGATAAATTTTGTTGTTGTGTGTAAAATCGGATTATATTTAAGGAAATATAATGTGTTTCAATGTTAACGATTGCCCCAAGATTTACCTAACGTAACAAAGTCCTGGCTGAACTTGAATTTCGCTTTGAATCCTCGACGTTGTGGGTTTGTTGCTCTCTCAAGGGTATCAAATGTCATGTAAAGCTGTTCCTCGGTGGAATACACAACCAAATTGCGATGTTGGCCACAATATTTTTCGATCAATGGACTGCTTGTATCGTTGCCGTCGTATATACTGACTACGTCGAAGGGGCAACTAATAAGTAAAAGTAAATTCATACGTCTGTTGTTTTATAAACATATTGCGGTATTCACTTACTGCTGCCCGCCAGAGGTTATATCAAAATCATTGAACTCCAACTGTAATCTTTGGCCGGGTTGTCCAAGAAACAGGTACGTACATTGTAAACCTAATGGGTATATTGCGGGATACGTTGGTGTCACGATTATACCTTGTTCGTTTTTGTTTGAGTGGAATATAAATGAGCATAGACTATTTCGCTTCGCCGTTTCAAACTGATACATAGCTATAGGCAGAGATTTGCAGAATTATTATTTTTGGATTACTGGATTACAAATAATCCATTATGAATTACAAGTAGTCAATCAATCCAAAACTACAGGATTAAAAAAAAAATCCATTATTCCAGCTGCTGGATTATTGGATTACAAGTATAAATATATTTGTAAATTGAATCGTGGATCGTGTGAACTCATCTTTTCGAGGCTAAAAAAATAGCCATGATTAAATTTTTTATAATAAGGGAGACAATAAACCGTTAACGGCAGAATAATTAGGATAATTTGTGTATAGATCTAACATGAAAAGGAGGTGTGGATTTTATTGAATAGAATTCTGCAGTCATTAAAATCGAGAGAAGAAACAAAACATAGGATTTCTTAAAAAAATTGTCATTTTTTTTTAAAAAAAAAGGCAAATTTCAGATGAACTGAATGGAAACAATTGGTTGAGCAACTTAATCTGACGTTGTTAGACTTTACGACTCCCCGAGACATGAAAATAATGTAAATATAATAAATAAGTCTTTTGAAAATTTTAACCAATTTTGTAAATTTACACTTTTTTTTTATAGATTTCATATATTCTTTTTCTATTTCTCCATACCTTTTCCATAATTTACCTATATATAATTTTTATCTTATCTATTTTTCTCTCCTTTGCTATGTTTGCTATTGTTTTTATTATTACTCGTACCATCACTTAATAACAACATTTCAAATTATATGGATTTTTTTTTTACACATATTTCATTAAATTTCCCCTTAACGAAGGTATGACACTTACATTCATCGACGAAGTAATAATGACCTTCAAACAATGCTGAGGAAGTCGTATTCTTGTCTGTATAGAAACTAAACCCTAAGGTTCTGTACAAAGACATTCTGTCTTTGGGCGGTGATTCACCACAGTATCTGCCGTCAAACGGAGAGTCGACCAAATCCTTGTTATTTTTGCCAAGTTCCACCTCTGTGTAAACATCCACATATTCGTGTAAGCACCTAAGAGAAAGTCCCAAGAAAACAGTTGTTACATGTTTTTATTTAAAAAAATTATCTATTTTACTGATCAAGGTAAATTTTAATAAGTGAGTGCTTATAGTTCTTCTAAAATAAATTTGACAGATGAGAAATCTTAAGTTTCTCCAATTAGTGAATACAAAATTCGTTTGAATTTTTCAAACCTACAAAATGTAAATATTTTAGTTTATATTTTTGGGAGAACTTAACGAAAAACTAGTCATCATTCCATATGTCAAAGTGAAAATTCCAGTTTCTTCATCACTATTGTCGCTATTTGCTACTACTACAACTACTGCTAAATATAAAATAAGTATAATCAGTGACGTTTTTTGGGTCAAATTTTCAAGGTGTGTCCATATTAGATTTGATTACAACGAATCTGATAATACATTTACTAGAGGACACCCTCCCAAAATACTCCACTGCGTGCTCATTTATTATACAGATAATAAGAATAATAATTATTTTAAAATATGTAGTTACCACTTTCTACGATTATACGCAGTCGTTACTTCATATTAATTGCTGTAAATTAAGGACTGTAAATTGAGTATCTGGAGTAATTTCATGTTTAGTAAAAGAAATATATTTTGTAATAAGCGATATTAAAAATTATTGTACATACTGACAAACAGCTAATACAATTAGGTTCACTGACGATTAATACCTAAAGAAAATGAAGTACAGTGATTAGGATGTCCTTCCGGAGACATGAAAGTAATGTAAATATAATGAATAAGTCTTTTGAAACGTTGAACTAATTTTGTAAATTCATACTTTTTTTTATAGATTTCACATTTTCTTATTCTGTTTGTCTATGCCTTTTCCTTAATTTACTTACTCATGATTTAATTAAGTACTGTGATTATGGTCTTGTAATATTATAACTAAAATATTATAATATAATATTAATTTTATTATATTATAATGTAAGTTTAAAATGAATATGTTCATTGATATTTGTTAAAAGAACCCTAACTTATTGGTTTAGTTTAAAATTAAAAACGTTTAATACTACCACCTTATAACTTTTTTTAAAAAGCAGTCGAATTATTTCAAAATTTGTATAGAATATTCTTAAAATAAAGACCATATGATAAAATACTATAAACCTTTTTCCGTTTTTTTTTTATTTCTCTTTTTCAAGTGAAGTTTTCGGACTGAAAGTTTGAAAATTAGATCGAAGGTAGATTTAAAGTGGGGCTATAGCCTATAACATTTACAATTTTCTTAAAAATCTGTAGTCAGCATGTTGTAAGCTTATTATGATAACATTGCTGCCGAAATACGCGTATATGCTCAACTTTATTTTTTTGGTGGTTAAGGTTTTTTTTTTAAATACTTCATTATTTTACTTCTTTAATGTAGTAAAACATTTTTTTATTAAAGGAAAAACTAAAAAGAGGAAAACTACACTTGACGGTTAATACTTTCTCAGCTTCATATCGAAGATAAAACCAATCAAAAATGATTGAGATAAATTTTCAAATTTAACTAAATAATTTTTTATTTGCTTAAAAAAAAAAAGATTTAAATAAAAATTTAAATGACTTTTGAATATCAAGTTATTATTTGTCATGAAAATAAGAAAAGACGGGTTTAGAAGATTAAAAATGCCTCAGGGCCTCAGGCTTTTCGAAAGTTATTTTTAAACGGATCCTGATAAAAAATCTTACCCACATAACTATGGATAATTTTGCGTTTAATAATTAAACTATTTTTTGAGGAGGAGGAGTGGCCGAGTGGGTAAGGCGGCAGTGTGTTGGCGCTCACTGTCGCCGGTTCGACACTCGGTCACAGGCGCTCTGTTTGCTGGGCGAGCAATAATCCGGTGAAAAGGAACCGCCATCCTCCTCTCCGGGGACGGATTGACGACCCGTCCCGGAAGCGAATTCGTCAAGAAACCATCTCATGATGGCAGCGTTGGGCCTTCATGAGGCCATTATGAAAACATTATGATGATGACGATGATTTTTTTAGTATCCCCTCTCGACAAAAAACACGCATTTCCGATGGGTGGCATAACCCCTTTACCCCTCCCCCATGAGGGTTACTAGCCCCAAGAGGTCACCCCTGCTGCAACGTCTGGCCCTGATGTCCAACACTGGATTCAATACTCGCTGACGTATCTAATTATTTATGTGATATAAGTATAGTGTTCTGTGATTTAGTAGTGCCGAAGTGCTACTCAGGTAAATAGCAAAAGAAACGTCTCGTCATTAGTGAAAATTAAATGATTGTCGATATTTTGAATTGTCCACGCCTGACATCAACACGGGAATCGGCATCACAGCTGTTTAATTGAAAAAGAACGTGTGGAGGCTAAAGCGAGAATAGCCAAACAGGCGTACTCACTCCGGAGGAATGCTCCGCAGCTGAAAAGAAGTGAATGACACATAGACCTTTTGGTGCAAACCGGCCATAAATGTGTACACGCACACTTTGGACTCGAGCTCGGTGTTGACGATGTTAGGTGCCCGAAAAGTGCCGTTTTTCGGATCTCTGAGGCTCACAAAAGTTCGGTCGCAACCTGTATATAATAAAAACGCCGTCAGGTCTGCGTGTACCAAACCGTTTTCGGACTTAGCTGTATACTTACTGGGCGACGTTCTCTGTATAGTGGTGTGTACCGACGACATCAGAAACAACGACAACAGAAGTCCCTTACGGGCACACCGACGGTAATCGGTCATGTTACCTGAACACTTATGAAAAGAAAAAAAAAACCGTGGACGTCGATTTGCTTTGGTAGGTATGTGGCTCTTAAACGGTTTTATGTACGAGCCACAAACGAGTGACCCCGTTCAGATCCAGGGTCTGATGGCGAGAGCTGTTCGCGGAGCTGCAGACAGCAGACTAACATTTATACATGTATTAATACAAACAATACCAGCTCCCCCTTCACACCCAGCCTCATTTCCCATGCGCCACCGCACTGACTAATGGGTGGCTAAGAAATTCACTGCCGATTGAATACACATTTCTATATAATCAATAATACAGTGGTGACAGCCGGGTAGTGTGTATAAAGAGTGTCTTTAATGTGTGAGACTGTGCTTCGGGGTGGATTTGTCCCGGGCTACAAATAAGATTCCACCCGTCGTGCGTTAGTGGGCTGGCTGCGACCTCTATCGATTTTCTAGACCGGAAAATTCAAAAATAAAATAAATAAAAACAACAAAGTTTTCATTTTCACCATATGAGTATCGTGTTACTACAATTTAAAAAACTACAATTTAATTTCAAAACTACTATTATAATATTTTTAAAGACATCTAGAAAAATTTACGATGAGTGTATTCTGCTAATACACTTTACGCGAAAAATGACAAAAAAAAATGTACACAAACAACCACATAAAGATTTTGTTGGCAAAAAAATTGAATATAAAATTAAGCCAAAGAAGTCAGTGAACATAATTCACAACATAATAATAGATAATACATTTAAAAAAACAAGTTAAAATAATCAACGGAATAAATTAACGTAGGTACAAAAGAGAAAAAGTACAAGAGTGGTCAACACTTGTCGGAAGTAATTATTTAGGAATCGCTTATACAATAATAAAAGATAATAATACCCGAGAATTTTCTAACATTTGAAATGTGACTACAGAGAGTATGTATGTAATGATTATGTTCTGATTATTTTTGATCGTTGTCTTCCATTTGATCATACACGTTGGATATGAGTTCTTCACACCATATTGTTGGCGTGTTCGGCATCTCGCAGGCAACGACTTTGCATTTGCCATATTTCTGGTAGCGTCTCAGCGATAAATGATATGACTCCTTTGACTCGTTATCGTTCCATGCCATTATGTAAATGGCAAAGTCGCAATCTTTTGCCAATAAAAAATGATTGTGTCTGATGGCGTCCAGGCTTAAATCGACGACGCTGACGCAGAAGTTGTAATCATAACGCTGTTCCAATTTTGCCTTCATGTAAACCGCTTCGGGTCGGTTGCATTTGCTGAAAAATATCATTACGGCTATCGTGCGCTCACATCCCAACATAATATTTAGGCGCTTGACGAGTTGCACTTTTAAATTCTGCAAATTAACGGAAATCGATTCGATCCACAAAAGGACGTACACGCACAACAGCAGAGTGGAATTGATCCAGACGAAAAACCAAGTGGTGTGAAAAACACTGTCGATGCGATCCTGCAGCTTGTAAGGGAGGGTTTGTTCGTGGCCGACCGATTTTAAAATCATCAACGAGTGTACGGCCGTCTGCTTAGCCGTGTTTGTGGCGGTGCATTCGTATTCACCGTAATCCGCATCCACCATTCTATGTATGTAGAGGAACGCACCCAGCACAAGATCACTTTCCCTGACGACTTTTTCGATAACGTATTTACCATCGGATTGTATGGCTTGTGGCTCGCCTTTCTTTCTCCACGTTATCGTGCTACTAGAGTCGGAGTTCGCTTTGCCCACAAACGCTTCGCAGTACAGTCGGACGGACTGACCGGACGGAGACGATATGCTAGACATTTTGTACGTCCACAGCGGCGATCCCTTCAGATAACCGCCTTGGCTAATGACGGATAAACGAAACGAATGACTTGTGGTAGTGGTGTAGTCGGTCAGCACGCACGTATACTTGCCTCGGTCGGATTTCTTCAGGTTCTCCGTGTAAATTGTCTGGTTGCTGCTGTCTGGATTAATCGTGAAACTGGAGACGCCGTCGGCCCAAGGATAAGGTTTTCCGTCCTTGAACCATTCGAGACTCTCGTATTTTTTGGCGCAACAGTTGAGAGTTTTGTACGCGTTTACGGGCCCGTATTCGGCCGAGCTGAGTTCTTTGGTAAATACCGCATGATGTGTAGGTCGATTGTTGAAATTGTCGTTGTCACAAAAACCGTTATGTTTTGCATGGGTCTTCTCGGACATTAGTTGATACAACACGGCGGCAATGGGCAACCATAACACGGCTGACCTAATACAAAATTGAAATAACGCCATTATAGACTGCGTGCGATGTACCCAGACGAGGCGACAAAAGTTACTAGCATCAGCGTACGGTCCACGCTGTCGACAGAACGCCGAACTAAACTTTATTGATTTATATTCTTCAACTCTACCGACAACCCTTGGGGTTTATTATGGCACCCGAAATTGCTAGGCCAGACAGGCGCATTGAGAGTTACGGTACAACGCACTCTGTCAGCTACTTCCCTAATTTTTCTTTGAACATCCGCTCGCAGACATTCGGTGTTTGGGATATATTATCCTGCAGATTGCAGCACCTAAAACGGTTTTGTCATCGCTTGTTGCCTATTTAGTGCCGTCCCTTAAAAATTAAATCTGCCAATTGTGTACGCTGGACTGGCTCACGATACATCTATTAACCGCGGTACTGACCTCTAATAATCACAAGTAGCCAACAGACCAAACGTGGAGGCTGATTTATTTAGTCTTAGTAAACGCAGCGTTCCCTAACAAAAACCCTACATCAATAATTCTTACAAAATAAATAATAAACGTATAAGTAGTTGACAGCAGAAGTGGTACCAATACTATTAACGTATCGTGTTGGTGAAGTTTGGCTAGACATTTTTTTGTATCTATAAAAATAGTTAGTTAAATATATATTAGTTTAAAAGCAATTCTCAATATTTAAATAGTTCTTGGTTTTGCTTTTTAGCAACCTACTAAAAATAATATTCATCAACTAAATCAGTGTTATAATATTTTTAATATTTATCATAAATACCAGTTTTCAATTAAATATATTATATATTAACAAAGTCATTTAAAGTAATATTCATTTAACGTGTTCTATTATTATTGATATTTCTTTATTTAATTTTTTAAAATCAAAAGAGTTTTATAATAGGCTATAATTCTAAATGCTTCTACTTCTGATATTGTTTAATATTCGCACGTTATAACACACACAGTAAAACACTTACGTCAAATTTCGGTTCACCCTAACCAGCGGACACTGCAAGATGATAAAATTTCTATTTATTTCTTAGCCCTTCGAGACTATATCAGAGCCAGCGGGCTAACCGACACTTAAATGACAATTAGCCAACATCTCCTAATACTATTGCTAGTCAACGTTAGGTACTACATCTAATTATAATTAAAATTAGACTAGTGGCTATATTTGTAATATAGAACCTAAGAGATTAAGGTCTATATCCAAAAATTATTGCTTATTGTTGCTCTAGTGGCTCTTTTTAGAAGTTAACCGAAACTATTTTTAATGAGTAAAAGTAACGCTTTTAAATTAAACACAAAAAACGTTAGGTCTTCAAAAACAATTAAAATGTACAGAAAAATATAAAACATCGGATTGTAAGGCGTACAATTAACGTCAATACAATGTACAATAATTCCCTTCAGTATCTTCGAGAGAGTTATTTTGATATATAGTAAACACAATCGATATAATTTTACTTAGGCTACATTAAAATGATGTGGGCTACATGTACATATTGCTGCATTAGTGTTATTGTTATATAGGTTAATATTAATTAAATATCATAAAATTGTAACGCTTAATTAATTTTTTTATGACTATATTATATTACATACTAGACTCCCCTTTCTCAAAATAAAAATATGATCATTTATTTTATGAGAATACATCAGTAAGATTTTTGAAAAGTTGACTTAAGTTCCCAATTTGGTATATGCTCTAGAATTTCTAGGAATAGGTTAAAAAAATTGTTTAAAAATATAATTTGGTGTTTGCTTATTGTCTATTATATTTAATGATTATTTTTTTATATAGAGACTGTATCAACATTTTTGTTTCTTAATTTTGTATTTTTTTTTAAATGTGTTCTTTTTTCTTTCTTGTTTTTAAAGTAGGTAATAAAACAATTTTTTTTTATGTTTTTGGTTTAGGAAGTGAATTAGTATTAGCCTTTAATATTTTGTTTCTGGTATGCTTCTCTCTTTTTTTTTTATCAAACATTTTTCCTTATACATTTTTTCTTAAAACCCAGCCAGATTTTACTTATAACTTAAAACATTATTTTTTTTACATTAAAATATGTATAATTTAACATAGTTAACAATAATGACAAATTCGGAAAATTTGTGTCTACCGATAAATTCTATATTCTATTAAAATGTGTTAATGCTATGTTTTTGATTGCTTTAGGCTTCTAGTTCTTCATTTATGATTGGAGTTCAATCGGCAAGAGATATTTTCTCTTTTTTGGTGTTGATATTATTTGTGTAATTGATTTGATCACATTCATTTGTTATTTCAAATGGTTTGTTGATTTTTAGGGTAAAGCATGGCATGTTAAATGGGTCCGTTTTACCCAAGTCCCAGCAAGTACGTCCTGTAAAAGTTAATTATAAAACTGTAACGCCTGATTTATTTTCTCATGGCTATATTCTACTACATACTACAATACATTATCTACAGACAGAGAACTTTTATTAATAATAACTAAATTAACATTGTTAAATGTTATTGTTATTATTATTAAACAGAAACACAATTCACCTAGGATTGGGCAAAACTATCAAACTGTCACCTATGATCTGTTGCAACACTTTAGTAATCGAAAAAGAAATTTGATAGTCACTGATTAATTAGACAGAGATTAAAAAAGTTACTCGTTATTATTTTCTCAAGAAATTAATTTGTTTTTGTCGGGAAACCCGAAACTATAGAACAGAGTAGACAAAGTCAGAGAGGACACTTAACATAAACAATGGTTTCTGGATGAAGGCCACTATCTTCTTATTTATCCTAAAATTATATTTATACACAAATAATGAATAGCAATAACATTATACTGATTGATAAATGAGAAGATGGCCACAACAATTTTTAGTGATAAGTTATTTTGTAATTTCACCGTATTTAATTTTGTACTCAGCATGGCAACGACAAATGAACAGTCGTGACTATCATCACCCTGAAGATGGACTCTGCAATAAGTCCGAAACGTCAGCTTAAAACCAGTGAAATAGATAACTGGAAATCATCCGCATGAAGTCGGTTTTTGCCAAATGGTTTCATGAAATATTATTTTTACCTTTAATGAAAAACTTTCCCCAGAAACAGAAGTTGCCTAAAATGCATTGCTTATTTTAGATAATTGTCCCAGTTATCCTAATGAGATTTTATAAACTCAAAAAACGGATTTGTCCGTGTCATGTTTTCATCCCTTATTATACGCCACTATTAGAGCCTAATTAAATTTAAAACTTCTTTTATACCACAATACTCTTAAATCCCTATAACATATTTAATATTCAAAGTAATAACAAATAAAAATTACCCTCAAGTAGTTTTTATTGTACAAGGAATTTCTGACACATTAAAAAAAATGTACGAAATCAGATAATACATACAACATACATAGATTTTATGACTTGGATCAATTGAATGTTTCAAAGTAATTCTTTAAATTATCTTTTGTTCCATCAACTCTGTTTTTTTTTTCACATGTGACAATTGGTAGTGGCACCAACACACATTATACCATCAATATATAATGCAATATTTTCTAGCAGTGATATTGCTTTTAATACTAGCTGAGCTATCATAACACCTGATAACAATAATAATAATAATAATTATTAGGTATAAAATCTCATATTCTAAAATACAAAATGTCACAAAACATAAATTAATTTTACTCGTATTATAAACCTATCGTATCATACCTTAACCTCTCCTTAGATGTAAATCAATTTTCTAACTAAAATTTGACCACAATGTAGTATCATATTGTGTTTGCCATACTCATAATAAAAACCTTAAAATAAAAATGTATTTTACTAAATGTCTCTTTATAATTATAAAGTAAAATATTCAAACAATAATAATAATAAATTGTTAATACCCGAGTACGTAGTCGAACTCGCATTTTTGACATTGGCGTCAAGTCTAGGTCTTGGGCAATTATCCGAGGTACAATTCCTAAATTTCTGGGATGTTTTATGTCTTCTTTGTGAACTTTTTGAAAGTAGTCCCAAGCCTTTTTTTTTCTTAATTCGGTTGAAGCTACATAAGAAAATTAAATATAAATACATATAGTTGACACATTATAACTTATTTAAAAACTAAAAATTATAGTATAAAATAAAGAACTTTATTAGATACCTGTCTAATAAAGCATATTATTCTACATGGTTATTGAACTAGTATTAAAGTCGTCAATATTTAACTTTTAAATATAAATTAAAAGCTTCTTTTGTACCACAATACTCTTAATCCCTAAAACATAATTAATATTCAATATAATAGTTGATAAATAAATGTTGTCTTTAAGTTTATATTATTGTACATGGGATTCCTGATTTAAATAAAAGTACAAAATCGGATAATGCAAAGACTTTACGGCTTGAATCAAATGGGTGTTTTAAGTATTTCAATCTACTCTGAACTCTTTCCACTTGCAACATTTGGTAGTGGCACCTATTGAAGAATGAAGTTTAAATTTTTCCGCGTGTTCTGTGATACACTCACGTGTTTTTGTTTTATAGGACTAATACTCAGTTTTTTTTCTCATTCCTCAGCTTCCTTTTTACACCACACTTAAAAATACTATTAACACCGTGCACTTGTTACAACATTTTGAATTTGATTCGATCAGATTTCTCATTCACTGTAAAGAATTGAAATAATGAAATATTTAAGGAACTCTTAACCACAAAAATGATACTTTACATTGTAAATATACGTATTTCGGCAGTAATTTTTCCATCATTACTGAGAAGTGTGTTGTATGCGCTGATGACGGTAACACTGCTGCCAAAATACAGTTTATTTAAATATTTCATTTTTTTATTTCTTTACAATATATAGCCACAAGTGTTGCTTAATTTTTTTCTAGATTCATTGTGTCACAACAATCTAATTTAAGTTTTTGTTATAATGAAAAAAAAAAGCCGTTGCATATAAATATTATCTAAAAATGTTTAATATTATCTTTAAATTGCTAAAGATTATAAGCAAGTTCAATACTAATGTTTTATATCTATCTGGTTACCATAAATCCAAATAGAAATTTCATAGTTCTTATTAATGTTAATACATTTTTTGACAGTTGGAAATAAACTTCTATTGCTAATGGTGGCTGTACAAAATCGTTTTTATTTTCAGATAATGGTATTGTCATCCAAAGTAGAAGGCAGGAGAATAATTTTGGCTGTATCAATTGGTTAAATAAATTATCTGGAAAATGTAACATACTTTATTAGATACATTAAAATAAAATAATAACTTAAAATTTAATTATACTTTTTTTTGATAAAGAACTTGATGACTGTACTTCACCGGTCATATTATTTTAAGCTGCAAGCTGGATTTATTATGTCACTGTCAGTCTTTACCAGCTTTATTTTAGACCAAACCTTTTAAAACAACATTCATTAGACAACAAACATGAATGATAAAAAAAAAAAAATTACTAAATTAAGCTATTGGTAGTATTTGTTTATAATAATTTAAAATTTTAATTTTTGTTTTATTAATACATTTTGTAATATCAATACATTACATATATTAGTAATTCAGAAGTAAGTCTATTTTATTTGTATAGATTTACCATACTATTGATTAACTTTACAGCCCACACCATGTTAAAAACTCGCCAGTCATAAATGAGAGCAAGTAATACTGTGTGCGGTAGAGCTGACTGACGTGGTTTTGAGGGGTTATAAATAACGAACAGTAAAACTTGGAGAAAAGCGGTTTGTTTTATTAAAATTAATAGGAAATCCTATTTTTTTAATTACGTTTTGAAAATTATATCTCCAAGATGGCGGGCGGTCAGCAGTAATACATTGCTGTAGGCGAACTCTGAAGGTTATACATGATCTTTTGTTTGTTTTGATGGGTATGGCACAGGTTGGACGAAAATGGCTTAAGAATATGACTTTGGGGATGTATGGTTTTAACAAAACAAGGCTACAGAGCACACAGGTCAAATTTCACTTGCTGTTTTGCGACAAATGTTCCCTAGGTGGTTGGTTTCTCAAAGGGGTATCGTGGGATGGCTGGCACGCTCCCCTGACTTGAGCATGTGCAATATTTTTCTCTGGGAATTCCTTAAAGATAAGGTTTTCAAACATCACCCCTATACCTTAGAAGATCATGTGTCAACTTTAGAGATCGAGGATGTTGTTTGAAAACCTTATCTTTAAGGAGGCCCAGAGAAAAAAATCGCACATGCTCATTATATTGGTAGTTTTTTAATTTTACCTTGTCGAATAGCTGATGGTTTTCTATAACAACTTTCAAATGATAAATATGTCGAACCATATCTTTTAGTCTACATATTGTGTATGGCACCTAATAAATTGCAATTAAAACATTTTTATAAATAACAATTCATATTTTAGTAATACAAATTATATTAACTAAATAGTTAACATACTTGTTCAAGTCTTTTTGATTTAAATTAAAAATACATGTGTACTACAAAAAATATAGGTATTTATACCTCTTCAACCGCTAGACTCCCAGTATCACTCGATTTCGACTTCTTTGGAACGCTTTGTACATCAATTATATCATTGAAAATATAATCTTTTGTTGGAATAATGCAATACCTAGCCTTTTGACACTTTTACCTGAAATCATGGGGAGTAGTAAAAATAATAATAATAATGATAAATTAATTGAAAATAGATACTCAGATTAAAGTCTAAGTCAGAATTCGGAAGTGTAAATAATTTTCGGTTGTGCTCATGCCTCGGTGGGATGCCTTTTGACTTTTGGGCTGAACCAAATCTCTTAATCAAAACTTAATCTCTTTTCTATGGGCTGAACAATAGCAGCTGCCGATAGAACACAAAACGGTAGACCACGAACATAATTTGTATAATATATTGTATCATGCCATATATCATAACCAAGGTGGATTTATAATAATTTATATAATATTATAAAACCACCTTGATCAGTATATTTCATATTATTATTTAATATTTAGTATTTACAATTTACATAATAATATGTATTGGAAAGACGTTATCTTTTATCACGGCGGTCTGAAAGACCATGGAGGTGCAATAATATTTTAACCACTCATATTGAAGGGAACGATACCTCCACTTTTATGAGGTTAAAATATTATTGCACCTCCAATATACCGTGACCAAATGGTTTCTCTTCCATGACAACGGTAAAACGTTAGATAACGAAGCCGGGCCGCAGAGCACAGGCGTAATTTTGCGTTATAACAACAGGCGGCGGAGGAAAGACATAGCTAAAATTTGAAAAACCGAATTTTTTTTTAGTTAACGTTTTCCAAAATGAGTATAGGCGTTCCGATCAAAGTGCTGCACGAAGCCGAAGGGCACATAATAACGTGCGAAACTGTAGACGGAGAGGTCTACCGTGGAAAACTCATTGAAGCCGAGGACAACATGAATGTACAGGTAAATTACAATGTTTAGTGGTGTAGAAACCGTAAAATAAAGCAATATAATTTCTACCTTATATTGTCTTGGCAGATAACGCACGTACACGTGACATATAGAGACGGCCGCGTTGCCCAAATGGAAAACTGCTACGTTCGTGGTTCAAAAGTTCGGTTTATAATACTGCCCGACATGCTACGGAACGCACCGATGTTTAAAAGCAAAGCGACCATGGCTGGGGCCTCCGGCCGGGGGAAAAGTGGCATGATTCGATCGTCAGGTAAACAAGCTTTAAATGTGCTTCACTAGTTTGTTTGAATAACAATGATGTGTGTTACAGTTGGTCGCGGTCGAGGACGTGGTGGGCCACCAATGGGCCGTGGTGGACCATCGATGGGACGTGGAGGGCCTTCTGCAGGTGGATCATGGGGCCAACGTCGTTGATGTTTAAATTTCAAAAGTTGCATGTAATGTACATTTTTTTTTAAGGTATCAAGCATACCTAGCTGATAATTTAACTATGATTATATAAATTAGGTATACATTTATGAGTTAATTTAAATTTAACTAAATCATCAAATATTTTCATAATTTAACTATTTTAACTTTACTCTTATTTTAATTCAAATATATGATATGACTATATTTTTATTCATAGAAAATGTATTACTTTAAAATGATTTCTTTTAATAGAATTAATTAATAATTGTATTATTTTTCTCGAATGTATTCAAAAGATATTGGAAGGTATAGGATCGTGCCAAAGGTGACATTTTACAAAATAAACTTTTTTTTTACACTAGTGAAATTATTTTTTCAAAAATATGATTTTTTCCTATACTGTATATATTATTATTATAATTTATATATAATATATAGATTTTTTTTTTTAGGAAAAGAGAATTTAAATAAGTTAATTTAATTTGTATTTTAGGAAAATTGTATTTTATTTTTACATAATGACAAATGGACTACTAAATAGTAATACAATTTAGTTGAACAAAAATGGAAATTAAAAAATAATCAGTTTTTTTTTTGGTGTAACAAAACTTTTGTTCAAGATAATATTATGTCAATAACACGATTAACAAATATTTAAAAATAGCCAGAACAGTGGGACAAAGAATATTAAGATTAGAGGTCACAGATTTTTATAATTTATTTTAACTAAATGTGATAAATTGCTTTCAAAATAAACACTCCATTATGAATCCGTAGGTTGAGGAATCTCGATAAAAGCATTGTGAAGGCAAATGTTTGTTTAAAATTGTATTTTAGTATTGGGATGAATACAATTAGAATTGATCATTTGTCTTTCTTAATATTTCGTTGCTGTTGTTACCAATAGGCAAATACAACATAATACAAATATTTTTGGAAGATATAATCACTGTTGAAGAATTACTCTAATACAAAAACATCTATATTTAGATCATTGTAATTTTCCTAATTTTTTTTGGTTGTTCCTTATTAAAAAAACATTGACTACTGATTTTTGAGTAAATTGCATATGTTATAATAGCCCCTTTCTAGATCTGTCTTCAGTCTAATTTTGAGACGTTAAGCCCTAAAAGGTTAAATTGCACCTAAAAAAGCACAATAAAGAAAAAGATTCCACCTATTCTGGGAGATAGGGTTTTTGATTTTTTTTGTTTTGTATATCAAAGTATATGAAAAAAGTATGTGTGTAAAAAATACATTTATTTTTTCAACAAATCTTTTTTTAGAATTTAGACAATTTTGGCTGTTTTAATTACAAAGTGCCAGTTGTCTTTGTGTATTATAATAAAATAAATAATATTTTATGTAATCAAATATCAAACATATTTACTGGCATACTAATTTACATATTTTTTGATGTTTTGATGGATTCGATGACATTAAACTAAGATTTGAATTCTGACAATATGTGTGCTACGATTAAATTTCTTATAATAATTTTTTTAAACATTTTAAAATATATTTTTAGTATAAATAATTATTTGTGTAATATTACTTATATGGTATTAATTTTGCACCTGTGTGGTCCACGATAACTAATTCTAATTTTAATTGTACTGAAATGCCTATCCCATAATAGTTTTCAGAACAGATACAGACTTTCAATACTTGCTTAATGCATCAGTCAAAGTAAATTTATAATTTTCCTTTTTGATATTACTGTAAAAATGATAAAAAATCTTAAAAATATTTAATTTCGAATAGAAATAATCAATTAACTTTTTTTTTACAATTAGAGATTGCGTTTGTCTACAATAATAATATCATACTATTCATTTTATCATATTATTAATCTTAGCCAATATCTGTTATAGTTATATAAAATAATGTAATTTTGGCTAAGTAACAATTTCAATTATTATTTATTATATACAGAATATAACCATAGTAAGACACTAAATATTTTGGACCAAATAAAGCCTTACTGTCAGGATGTTTATAGGATGAAACAGCTTCACAACAACATTTGACTTCATCAAGTGAACTAAGTATAGTAATCGCATATTCTCAGTATTTTTAATTATGCTAAGTATTCTAAACTAAAGAACCATTTTTTCATTTTATACAAAGTCTACATAGTTGTTAAAACCTCAACAAATATGAACTTAACTGTTGAAAAAGAAATAAATTTCCTATACATGGTTTGTAGAATGTTTAATTATATTTATTCTAAATAGCTTCTTTATCAAGTTATTGTTTAGGTATCTATAAGTATTCTAATTAGCAAGTAAGAATTGTACGCTACATAATGTTATATTATTATATTCAATTTATCTAATTTACCATTTTTTTTTAAGACTGGAGAATAATGTTCTGTCGATTTAGCAAATGGTGTATGGTTTATTAGGCAAACCTAGAGTATTTGACGGAACACACAAACTGATACTTGCAGATAATATAATATTGTTTGTAGTTCTTTCCACCTCAGAACTCTCAGTAGTACTTAGTAATGTAATATTAAAACGAATTATAAATCATTAATTTAAAATTTGTGAAAACTTTCTGTATGGGATTTGAAGATAAACAAATTTCATAAAGCCTTTACAACAGTATCTATTATGCAACAGTCAACATTTAAAACAAAGATTTTGTCTTAAGCCGTAAGAAATGTAATGAATGGAAATTGAAAATCATAATACTGTACGTAATATATATAGTATATAATAATGTAATAAAATAATATAATACAGTATAATTAAAAAAACATTTTGTAATTATAAAATTTAAAAAATCTGAAATTCGAGTGCTAATTATGTCTAAACAATTTGGTAGCTGCAAAATTTAACTAACAGAGAGCGCCACTAGATTGTATGTTTGTGAGTATACTACTATTACTACTATGAGTACTTTAGAGCCGTTACAAATAGTTAATTTATGGCGGATTCTCATTATTAATTTTTAACCCGTGTTAAACGTTTTAATGAATCCAAAAAAAATCATTTTTGAGAAGAAAAATGGTTTTCTATAATTTGTTTTGGAACTTGAGGAATGAGGGGGTTGAAAGCGGCTGGTTTTTGAGGGATTTCTAATTTATATAAGCAATATTATTAAAAAAGTAGTTTAAATTTATTTTGACCGTACCAATTTATTTCAGAAAAATGTGTATAAGCTTCAGGGTATAATTTTTAACGTATACAATTTGTTCTACAAGTAAAAGTCATTATAAGGAACAGGTAATTACAAGTGTTCTTACAAGAAACCAATGTAAACCTAAAAGCCTGACATATTTACGTCTACTAAGCACATCTTTCTTTTCCCCTGCTTATTGTGGAATTAGATTTTTGAATAACTATTTTATTTACTTAAAATAATCAATAATGGGAGTACAAAAGATCTGAGAAATACAAATAGGATTTAAACACAATTTTATTCGACATTTTACCGGTTTACAGCGATAACTTTTGAAATCTAAATAACAACAGTGATATGGTAAATACAGTGATTTTTGTTTTAGTGTTTTTATAGTCAATAATAGTGTATTTTTTGTTTTGTATACAAATCTAATTCTATTACACTTTAGTGTTTGTTTGGAAGTCGAATTGTTGTAAACGGCAGTGTGATTAAAGCAGTTTCTTCTAACGTAAAGTGAGCTTCGTAGTCTAGAGGTACGTTTTTATCACGTCTAAACTGTTTGTACGCTATCAACACCTGCCGGTCTACGGTCTGACCAGCTGATACAATGGAGTTTGGTAGTAGATCTTCGACAGGTGGTTATGCGGTGTCAAATTGATTTAAGTCATTCTTTAGCTCTGTGTATTCCTCTCATAGTATAAACGGGTATGACGGTGTTGGTAACATTATTTATAGCCCTGGCACTTGTCATTTAGCAACTATTAAGCTGTCAGTGGGAGAGATTTTTCAAATCCTCAGTACTCTCGATTTAAATCCGTGTCCTGGTCCAGATGACATCCCTAATATCTTATTACGTTCCTGTATTTACTCTTTATCTGTTCCTATTCAAAAATTGTTAAGCCAGTCATTACTTAAAGGTGTATTCCCGTTACAATGAAAAATAGTTATATCACCCCGATCCATAAATAAGGCAATAAAAATTTGATATAAAATTATAGACCAATCTCTAAATTATCTACACTGCCTAAATTACTTGAAAAGTTAATTATGCCTGGGTAACTTTATCTTTTAAAAATATAATTAATAACACTCAACATGGTTTTATGAAAGGACGCTCAGTTGAAACAAATCTTCTTTGTTTCTATAATGCTATTTTAAAATCCGTGGAATCGGGTAAACAAACTGATGTCATATACACCGATTTCAGTAAAGCATTCGATTCTGTAAATCACTTTCTACTATTAACGAAGTTGCGTTTGTACGGTATTTCCGATCCTTTGTTATCCTGGTTTAATAGTTATCTATCAGATAGAACCCAACAAGTTAAGATTAATAGTTTCTTGTCACATCCCTTTTCTGCCCCTTCTGGCGTTCCTCAAGGTGGACATATCTCTCCCTTACTGTTTGCCATCTTTATTATGGATATTGGTTCTTGTTTTAGTTATTGTGATCACTTACTGTTCGCGGACGACCTCAAACTTTTCGATAATGTGTCTTCGATCGAAGACTGTTATTTTATTCAAAAAGACCTTGATAATTTACATGTTTGGTGTCTTGATAACGGTCTGAAGTTAAATACTTCTAAATGCCTAAACATGTCCTACACCCGGTCTCGCAACAAAATAAATCACGACTATCATATCCTCGATGATAAATTGGTTGAAGTAAATACCATCCAGGATCTCGGAGTTATTTTTCAATCGAACCTTTCATTTTCTTCTCATATTGAAAAATCGTGTACCAAAGCTTTAAAAAGCCTTGGCTTTTTAATTAGATGCACTAAAGAATTTAATGATGAACTATGTCTTAAAACCTTGTATGTGTCACTAGTCAGACCTCTCTTAGAGTATTGTTCAGTTTTATGGAACCCCACGCAAATTGGACATATTGAATCACTGGAGCGGGTGCAAAGACGTTTCTTGCGGCTCATTGGCTATAAGAGACGCCTTGGTTTTGATCCTAGCCTCCCCTGTTCTACTTCCACTTTATCTTCTATTCAGGCCAGCCTTAATTTGGTATCACTCGGCACTAGACGTGAATCAATTGACGTTTCCTTCCTTACGAAAATCATAAAGGGTAATATTGTTTGCCCAGATTTGCTACATCTTCTTAACTTTCATATCCCCGCTTCAACTCCCGGTCCATCCATACCTTTTCAATCCCGTTTCACCACACATCATATGGTTCCAACAACCCTATATCTCGTGTATGTAATAGGCGTAATGATATTGATTTATTTGTTTAATTATATATATGCACTGTTACTCATTAAAATTTTGTGTGATCTTGCTTTAATTATTTTATACTGTACTAATTGTAGTTATTTTTTCTTTCTATATGTCATGTTTATCAATTTTATCAATTCGTTATTCATTATGTTATTTTATTTTACTGTAGTGTACTTGAGCCTACGGGCGTTTATTTAATAAATAAATCAATTTTGATTGAATTATAAAAAACCGATTCCCACAATAACCTAGAAAAGAGAATTGAAATAGGACCATCTTAAGTAGACGTAATTTTGCCAGGCTTTCAGGCCTAATATGTCCAAAAACCGACAGTTTTTAATACCCTAAAATGTATAAATCATATGTATTTCTGAAAATAGAATATAATAATTAAAATAAATTAATTTAACGTCCATAAAACGCAAAAAAAACTTTTTAAAACTTAAATTCTTACAATTTTGTACAAAATATTTACTTATTTAAAGTAATAATTCAAGCACAAGTGTAAATTATAAAATTAAAAAAAAACAATTAATTATTAAAGGAAAATTTATACAAATCCGTAATTTTATAGTTTTCGGTATAATAACCTAACTCAACTTTACTCAACTTTTTAGTGACAACTGACATTTTTTTTAAATGTGTAAAATGCTTTAAAATGTTAAAAACTTAATACCTATATGTATAATTTTTTAGCTGATTATGTTATAAATAAACCTATTAGTGCTTTATTAAAAAAAAAATGCAAAATCCATTAACATACAAGCCTTACGTTCAATTTCACAACTTTTAAGAGAGTGATTAACTCTAATTACTTTGCTTAATTATGTATCTATACTTTCCTTACTTATCTATTACTTTAATATATCTTTACAAATAATATACCTATACTACAGATTCTTAAAATTCCAAAATACATAGACATTTTTTGTATAACTTAGTTTTATTAATGCCATTTGTTATAACTTATGGATACCTCGTTAAGTTCATATGTCCATTACTTGGCAATTATTTAGTTAGTATATGCATAATCAGGTATAATTCAGTAGTAGCTATTGACCTTAACACGATTGGAAAATGTTCCACTTTCGTAAAGGTGCGCCTTGGCGCTTTGAATTGTTTTAAGCTACAAAAATGGAAATACAAGTAGAGGCATTGAATGAAATCCAAAATAATAATTTAATAAAAAAATGTTTGTAGGGAGTACACAAATATAACGTAACAATTTATTTTAATTTAATTCTCAAAATCGGTTGAGGATCATTTTACAGTATAAAGACGTACGTTTCTTTATTATTATAATTTTTATCTCGATATTTTGCTAATAATTACGCTGAATGTCAAGCCTGTTTAGTGTGTCGAATTATGCCCAAAACGATAAACGTAGCTTAAGTATCGGCCGTTGGCTTCCTTATCTCATGTATTGTACCCAACACGTTGTCTAAGCAATCGTCTTCTTTGGCCGGGTAGTAATTGTAGAAAGTTTGTTTGAAATTTCTGTTCACCTTGCTTTTGAAGTAAATGCACTCCATGGTCGGATATAGTTCCCTAGCGTTGTCGATCGCCAGCTCTTTCACTTTGGTGATGTATTCTTTTTTTGCAACTTCTATCTATACAGGTACATATATGTATTAATATGATACATCAACCGGTTAGGAATACAAAAATATGTAACAATTATTTTTATCCTTATTATATAAATTAGGATAAACACTATTAATGTAGTAAATATACTAATAAACACTTGTATGCGGGTTTGAGGTGTTTCTGGTTGCCTGTTAAATTATTAACAGGTTCTCACTTTTTTTAAATCGATTTTTAAAAACATCTAATACTTTTCCTTTTTTCTTATTATAACGGTCATCTACTAAGAATATAATAACAAAAGTAAACTAACTAAGAATATATAAGAACATTTCTTATACGAAAAAAACATCTATAAACTAGAAAATCTAGAAACTGTATTTACACTTTATATGTATGAAGTATTATTGAAATGGTTTTGAGTTATTTTTTAAATAGTTACTCGTTATTTCCTGTAACCACTAGGTAGGTAAGCTAAAATAAAGGGAATGATTATTGTATGGCCTTGAACGCTTTGGTATTTAATGACCTAATGTTTTTCCTATAAATGGATAAATGTACGAGGTCGGGCGCCGGGAGTGTGATTTGTTTTATCAAAAAATTAAATACTGATTTATAAGGTTCATTTACTTAAATACTGAAATGGGATTAGATTTGCTTACATTGTCCCTAGGTATTAACAGTAGATGAGTTATGCTAGACATAATTTTGATGCAAAGGCCAAAGCCATTAAATCATTCATCTCAAAACTATTTCTTAGAAGAGAACAACTTCTTTTCCGAATAAAAAACGAGTTATAGTTCTTCTTCATTTAATGTTCCAACATGTGTCCAGTATTTTTACTATTAGAAAAGTTTTAAATTTACGTTTTAAAAATATTTTCTCAACAAATTAGGCCACAAAATAGTGTTGTCATTATGCGCCATTCCAAGTGATATCAATGGGCAACAATCTTTGTTTTAGTTAAAAACTGTTAATATTATAAACAAATTACTTTGTGTTTCGCGTCCTCCACTTGATTCCATGTGACTTTTTCATTATGTGAAGAATTTTTAATCGGATAAGGCATTGAAGGAATTGGAACGTTAGTAGCTTTCGGTCTGGGTTTGTTCCAAGCTTCTATAGACTTTAGCATGAGATCCACTGTAATATAAATACTTGTTGATTATTACTGACAATTAACAAACTAGAAACAAAGAAGTAAGATTTAAAAAATAACGTTTTTTTTTTCGTGTAAGATATCTGTCTTTGTTGATCCGGATCTCGTACCACCTCTTTAGGGCACGCAATTCAGTTAGTTCTGGGAAACTAGCTATTGGATCACCGAGAATTGCCAAAAACCGTAGCACAGCCTGTGTAAAGATTTAAAGAAATTTTAAAAGTATTTGTGGGAATAAAATATAAATTATATTCTCTATTACCAATTATTTTAACAAAAAAAAAAAAAAATTAACAACCCACTTAAGACTGGTTTTTGTAAAATATTCTTACTTTTAGTTGTTTCCATGCTGGTAAGTTGCGTAACATTTGAAGCACTTTATCGATTTTTACTTCTTCATTTACCTGTAGATATACACATACAAAATGTCGGGTTAGAGATGGTTTGATCATGTACAATTTGGAGACAGTCAAGCATAAAGAAATATCATCCATTCGCCCAATCTTGGCACTGATAAAGTATGTTAAAGTTGACTGCCGAGCAATATGAGTTGAAGGTAGAAGAGGAAATTTAGATTGCTAAATCTAAATCTCGCTAGTTTGAGAAAAGTAAGTAAGAAATAAGCACACATAAACAAATAATGTACTTTAAGGGGAATAAGCCATCACTTCGCTTTTCTTTGTTGTTGAATAATAATTAATTACCTACCCCATCTTCAATATTGTTTTCATTATTTTCTTTGTGAAAAGTAGACGCTTTAGTTATTTCAGCTAATGACGGCTTGAGTTCCAGCACGTTGAGCTTATCTCTTTCTATTCTATCCCGAAATTCGGATTCTTTGTCAGTTCGCGAAGCTGTGGCTAGTTGGCTGGTCAACACGGTATCCTTTTCCTATAAAAATAACCAACACACATTTCATTAAATAATTATTATTAAACTATTTTAATTTAAGTAACATGACCTAAGCTGTTTTAGCTTAGTACTGATTTGAGAGAGAATTATCTTGTATAATACTCTTATAATACTTTACGTTTGATTGCAGCTTCTGGAACTGTTGGACATTTTTGCAGTCGCCACTTTTTTCTTGGAATATTCGCAGCAACATGGCTTCGGCTTGCGACAGGCGGCTGTCCTGGTTGCCGGACAGTACAGGGTTTTGATCGGACAGATTAACTGCTTTATGATTGTTTTTTTCGTCGGCCGACAAAATGCCGGCGGTGGTGACAACGTGCGGCGGTTGGCACACGGTTTCTGGTGTTCCCGCCGGTGCCACAACTACATTGACGGTTGCGCTGGCCTCGGATGGTAGAACGTTGGCCGTAATTGCCGTGGCGTCCTCAAAGCTCAACGGTATGTTTTCCGACGTCTCGCTCAGGTCGTCCATGGAGTAATGAGCCGCCATCTCGCGGTTGAGCCAACCATAGTCGTCCGGCGTCTCGTTTTCGTCTTCTATGAGCGATTGATGAGGCGATTGTGTCTCGCTGATTTCGGTGGCGTCTTGCTGGGCGGCCAATCGTCGGCTGTCGTCGGCGGCGTCCACTGTCGGTTTTTCTTGGTCAGCCAGCCACTCGATGTCCTTTGTCTTCTTTAATCCATCGTGGTCTATGACTACAGAACATCCATTCAAATATGTTTTAATCTGATATCTTATAAACATAGAGCGTATTATACTACAGCACCTATACAGTACCCAACGGCATAACGTATACGTCTTAATATTTAAGTAGAAACTCTATACCCGAAAAAAGTAACTAAAGCTTAAACACGATAAATACTCTATAGGTGCCGAAGTTATGTACAAAGAAATTCTTTTTTGAGGCCACTCAACAAGTGTTCTATCTCTCTATGGTGCAAGCAAAAATCATGGTTAATGGAATGTAACAGTTCTAGAACAACAATTTTTTACTTGATTAAGGATAACAAATTTTTACACGGAAAGAGTTTTTAGTATAACTTTTTTAGGCGTTTTCATTAATTTCGTAAATAAATTGTTTTATGAAATGTTTAAATGCGAGTAAAAAAATATAAAAGTTTAACATAAAAACAAAATAATGATTATTTACTATGTAAACATTAATTCGGTGATAAAATTATTGTTCTAGACCATTATTAAAAGCTTGAGTAGTAGATCAAGCTTCTTTATATATTGGGTACATTGCAGTATCACTGTACATCGTGGCTATATAGTACAAATTATATTGTTTCAAGAGGGAAAACACTCTAATTTTACAGTATTAACATGAATTATCTGTATGTATGTGAACTAGAGATAGTTTATGACGATTTCATACACGGTTAGGTTGTGATAATTCAAAATTAACAATTTTGTGTAATTTTTTACAGCAACAATAAAGTAGTGTTGGGAACCTCTCAAGAATTTATCATTGCAATGTCTCTTAGGGTAATTTAGACAAGTTCCCCGCTGATTATTGACATTATAATGAGCTTATTGGTTTTTTGCTGACTTCTTGTTATCCACAAAATATTCATTTAAAACTTTTAAAAATTGTATCCAACCATGTAGTGTTAACTTCTTACTACGCCAACTTCTTATTGAACAGTAACTCACTTTCCACTCTACTCTCCCTAGTCACCCTGTATATTACCACCCTTTTACTTTCGCAGAGCCATCCTTCCATCATGTGTTTCATAGCATTTCTCACTTTCTGCACTATACACACCGTTTAGAAATCATCTCATGCGACACAACGTTGTAGCATTACCTGACGGCTCTCTGAAGTCCATTACCACAGGTGGCTTGTAAAACATTTTCTCCAAAGGATGTTCAGGGTACTTGATACGCATTTTGAGGGTGGTCTTCCTCTCGACGTCGATCTGACCATAACACGAAGAGTATTATTAGTAAATAATAACAGGTGTATTTCGCTGTTTAAAGTTGTATCTACCTTTATCTGCTGAATTTGCTCTTTCTTCTTAGTCATGTATGCCTTACGGGTCTTTTGACTTTTGAATTTAGCATTGTGCCACTTGATTTTATCGATTTCAGTCGTTGGCGCCGTGGGTTCCGGATTAACGTCCAAATACGGAGACAAAGGGTTAGCCTTCCATTTTTTCTGTTTCGGCAGAGAGATATAAGACACTGGAGTAGAACAAATGATCTCGTTGAAACGTGTAACAAACTATACAAATCGAAATAGTCGGTCTAGACTGGATCTTACATTCTTTATCGGCTACGGGTTCATCGAGACAGTACTCGAGCTTATTGATGAGACACGGGAACGCCAAAAACACTATACTGGACATCAAAATGCGTTCTTGGGGCGTATAAAGTCGGCGTTGTCGAGTGTCTGAAAAAAAATAACGATTTTCAGCTGTCCAATTTGTGACGGAATTATTATTATAGTGTACAATTATGTACTCGATGGATCAGCGTTCAGTGTGCTTGTCTTTTGATCCAGGTATTTTTTAATTTCAAACAGGAAGTCGATTGGGTAAAGTTTACTGGCAACGAGAGCCTCAGCGATCACAACTTGCGGAATGAACGTGCTGATCCCAAGTGCCTTGAGAGACTTTCTCGTTCGTCCGGACTTGCCTTCTTCGTAGTCCAACTGCAAGTTCTCTTTCAAGTTACACAGAATAGAGTTCTAACGAAAACAATCACACATTGGCCGATTATTGTTAGTACAAACCGATAGATTGGCCCTGACACTAGGTTGTCACTTATAAAACTAGATATAATTACTAGAAATTAATATAATATAAGCTCATAATAATTTGTCAACAAAACTATGATAATTATTGTTCTCTTAGATCGTGTAATACACGTTTAAGACAATTTACTCAGCTGAAGTGTAAGATGAACTACACAGATTATAAGATAGGTCAGAGTATTCGTGATGCATACATTTCAAGTGAAAGTTAACTCGGAAAATGTCAAGAATTTTTACCTCTCGACAAATTTAAATTATTTGAGCATATTTTATGAACATATACTACCGTTTTCTATTTTTCAGTGGTTGAACCCGTTTTTTATAGTTAGTACATAGGATTTAAGATAGGGCTGAGATAATATATTTATAAATATACAATGCCCAAGGCAGCTAAGTGCCGTTAATTTCAGTTTTAAAACTTTTAATTAATTCCGTAAAGTGCGAGTTCTTACCTTACCGACTTACCTGCTGGGGTGACAACTCTTGATACCATTCCGGACCGGTGGCTATTTTTTTCACTACTTCCGCCACTTGTTCTGAAATAATAATATTAATTAAGCGGGTTTTAAGTCAGGGCGGAAAAATGGGTTGGCAGCTTTACTCAATTGTTTTTGTTGATTATTGTAATTCTTTAGAGCGCAACAATATTCTTTGGACGCAGTTGAATGTCGGTTTCGTCGCTCTCGTTCAATTTCTTCTTCGTAGTACTCACGGTTCTCAGACATTGTACTCCAAGTATAATACTAAAACATAAAACACACACGATACGTTGGTCATAAGTCAATATAAAAGCTAAAACCACATTGGGTAAAAAAAAAATAAATCTTCTAACTAATCACATCCCATTAGTAATGTTGGTTTAGTCTTCGGAGTGCGATCCTATTCCACCTTAAGACATTAGCTGAAACATTACGATTGATTGGAGCTTATGTGTCAAATTAATCTTTTTAGGAGTTAAGACTAGGAATTTTATACGAGTCTACATAATCTGAGTACTGGAAGTTAGTTTTATATCAAAACTGGTTTTTAATGTTAGACCAATATTTTTGTCAATATATTCTAAACGTTTTTAATGTAGGCGAAGTAAGTATTAATTTCGGTACTAGTAAACATAATGGACTACTAGTATATTTAATTGCTGTGTAGGTAGACAGAGATCAGAGATAGAAATGTATTAATAAAAAAATCAACAAATTAATTCACTCAGAACGTCTAAGCTTCAGATATTTTAACTACCATATTCTTGTATAGATTGACATGATGTACTAACAAAATTAAACTATACTATCAGTAAAGTTCGGGTTAATTATATGTATTAGTTTCACGTTCACGCTGAATTTGTCTAATCTCTTAATTCTTATTGTTACACATACAATAACGTTGGACAGTATGTAAATGTTAGTAATCTTTAAATGCTTTCCCTATAAAGTGATTGGTACTTAATAACATTTATATCAATAGCACGGTTCTTTGACATAGTCCAGATTTACTTTGAGTATATGGGTCATTTAAAAAAATCGTGGTTTATTGTTAATTTTTTAACTGAAAAAAAAGTTTGGAAAAGAACTTATATTTCTTAGTTACCGCCCTCTTGTTATATTTTGTGGTCAGCAGCTTTCCTCATTCCATATTTGTATATGAAGGTGACAGGGGAATGCACTTTTCTCGCAAAACGCTTCAGAAATAAAAGTCAGTAAAAAACCAAAAAATGAGATTGAAGGAAAGTGACTAGAGTTTACATAATAATGTTGTACTGAAATCGAATTGTAGTAGAAAGTCTATAGGACTTATATCTTGTTAGTTCATAGTTGTTGATGGCAGGATCCAGAGGAATGAACTTTAATACAAATACGCAGATGTTTTAAAACACAATTCACTAAATAAAACCATGCTTTTGTGAATACATTCAAACTATGATACCACCATTTTAAACGTCATGAATTTAAGTGGCCATTAATTTACTTTTTTTTGGCAAAAAGTCACTCAGCGCCTCAATGGTCGCGGTTTGAACAACTACTCGAGCAGCCACACAAAAACCATAAGACTGACCTTTTCGACTACCTACTTCCGTTGTGAAACGAGACAAATTTTTTACACCACCATAGTTTTATTTCTTACATCCAACCAAAAAAATACTTAGAAGATAGACATTTTACTGTATTGCTTATACATCTATTTTTATTGTACAAACTTGGAAAGTGAAAACCATGGCGTCGGTCAACCAGAGGAATGAAAAGACAATATGTCAGAATTATTTTCAGCTTGATTACAGGCAAATATTTGTAAAGCTATAAGTTAAAATTGCCAAAAAAAGATCATAGTTATTGAACATATTTTTTCCATGTTGTAAAATTGTCGCATACAGACAATATTGATTCAGTTGGACAGAATAATCCCCGAATTTTTAAATGGCCATTATCAATATGATTGAAACAAAATATTGTCACTTAATATTGAAGTGGTTTCGTTTAAATAGATTGGCTTGGAATTTAAAGTATGCCAATTATGGACCAGAGATTTAACTGAACAAAGTTATCTCGACTATAATAATTCAGTTCCAGTTTACCGGTATTTAGAGTCACCTCTCGACCGTTTGACGAGCTTCGTTATAGGTCACTTCTATCACTGCAGGAAACCTTTGAAATTTGATCATGTGCAAAATTAATTAAATTACTAAAAATTTAATAATGTTTATCAACAAATAAACTCTGCTATGGATATGACTGATACATATTAATATATATTTTAAATATTATTTTCGACAATTAAAATGTACAAAATCTAAAAACAGTTATTGCAAAACATGTATGGTCTTAGTATACAACACTACAATAGTGACTATAGTGTTAAAATTTTGTTTGAAAGTGTAGGACACAAAGAATTATTAGGTTATAATAAACTATTATAGTTGTAAATGCTAGTTTTTGCCTGGAATAAATACGATTATATTTGTATGAATAATAAAAATACCTAAATATTTTAAAGATCGAAGAGGTAAGAGTTCAAAGGAAGGGGAAGGGGTTAGTGTGTTTAAAAATGCCACTTTTATTACGATTTGTCAAGCAGAATATAATAAAAAAATAATATTTTTAATATTTTGAGAGCAAGAACCAAATGTAATTAACCATTGAGTCAAGATTTTCTTAAAAGTATGTAGAAAGTTCTAACTTTAGAATTTTGTTTAAAATTATGTGTTAATTCAAATGTTTGGTGAAAAAACACACACCACGCAAAGTTACTTTTTTTATACATAACAATATATTTTAACTATCATACGAAATTATTTATCATTTATTTTATGTCATTAATCAAATTATTATCATATTTTATACCATTGGTGAACATATGATACACACTCGTACAAGAATAAGTATTTTTAGAGTTTTTACCTAGCAACTGCTAATTGTTGTTGATCGAACTTTAGTAAAACAAAAATAAATTGCTTTATTTTCGATAGAACAGTGAATTAGTTATAATGGGAAAAATGACGGAAAGGCAAGATAAGGTAAATGTGGTCTCTTTTGTATTCGTTCCGCAACTAAAAAGTTTCCTGAAGTTCGTTTCCCTGCAAGTGGGGATTTCTATAATTACTTTTTATTTTTGTGTAAGTACAAATGCGGTCTTTTATTTGTCAATCATTAAAACGATTATGTTTACATTGATTTTGTTACTCTCGTACTGAAATATAGGTGGGAGCTATGTGTTCCATCATGGCCAACATGACAATGCTCAACCCGTCAATGCCAAGTAAGTTAAAATCAAGAGCCTTTAAATAAATGTGTTTTTTATAACTGCCATAAACCGGTACCAGGGGTCGCTGTTTGTTTATAAGCTCAATCTCAATTACATTCGCTGGGCTAAGAGAACCTTTATTGAAATCGTACCACAGCTGTTTTAATAACACATTGATCAATTTGGTTCTGCCGATCTTGTCATATTTTGGCCAAATCAATTTTATTTTGTGAAAAAAAAATCTTTAGCGATGGTAGCATTGTGCAATGCGCACGTCAATATTTTACAAAAATTATCTTTGGAAATTTCAGATAAAACCTATTAAATTGGTTACTTATTTCGGAGGATATTCAAAACTTTTTTTTCTACTTAAAATGTTTCGCTTGTAAGCCAATAGCAGCCGAGCCGCTTATAATTTTCTTGCATGAGACCATATTGATGTCTCATAGATGTTTTCACAGAATTTGTCAGGCAGTTGTGATTAACCACGCATTTTTTTCAACTTGGAACGATTGCCATTAAGTCTGTCATGTTTTTTACTTATACTTTACAGTTAGTTGTGTGTTGATAGCCACTTTGAATACTTACATAATAGTCACCTGGATTATGGCCATTTCCGGATCCTTCAGCGTAAGTCACTCAGTTACAATCTTCAAGCGTATCGAAAACTATTAGATTTTAATTGATAAACTGTTATATGAGGATTACCTTACTAGCGTTTCTCAAACTATGACAACTTTTTGTTGGTCGCGAGAAGTTTATGTTTTGTAAACTGTATAAAATATAAAGTATTATAAATCGACATTGTAATATTACGTGTAACACGACTATCGAATATTCTCAAATTTTCGTTAACGCGAAAAATAGTGAAGAGAAAGTATGGTTCAGAGTACATTCAGAGTTCATAATTTGTTATGAGATACTTGCATTGTAAAACCATGTGGGTCATGATAGATTTTGGGGAAAAATTTGGGTCGTGGTACCAAAAAGTCTGAGAAGTACTGGATCAATTATTACTCAGCTAAATAAGCAAAGGATACAGTGATAGAATTTTAAGCCGTGAATAATACACTTGAAGCCTACAGACCTTGGTTGTTTTTAGTCGACAAATAAAGTCTGTTGGTTATACTAAATTAGTAACTCGAAATGATAATTCCACTTTCAGTCGACATGCTGTATCGAACAGACTTCATTTTGTGCGTATTTACTTTAACTTTACAGTCTACTGGTTTTCTTTAGGAAAATAAATTACGAATAAAAATGGCGGTGCTTATGTGGTCAGGGTTTATTGCTATTTGGATATTTTGCGTCTCGTTTACCTTTTTGAAATTCGACACACAGTAAGACCAAAAATTAATAAATCGGCGGTCACTTTCTTAGTCTATTTGCCTTTCAGGATCTTGTGTTTGGACCATCGGTGCCCGGAGAGTTTTTGGGTGTACAACAATACGTATTATACGATGACGACGTTCCAACCCATAATGAAACCGCCGACTACTCCTATGCCTATCATTATACCGTTGAAACTCAATGAGATTTTCAACACGGCCTCTTGGAGGTAAGACATTATAATCTAGGTTAATAACTAACAAGCTTATCATGTAGAATCCAAAAGGTTAAGATTTACGTTTCATCACTTCCAAATCCAAGTATTGTATTATTTTTAAAGCGTATGTTGAACATTTTGATCAGATAATATAAACATATTGATTCAAATTTGAATTAGGAAGTAATTTTATTATTTAAATTGGTTGAAGTTAATTTGCCAAAGGTATGTTGTTTGGAATATTTACACGGTTTACAGTTACTGCTAATTTACAAATTGGCTTTGCCGAAAGTTGGATGCGTCTGAATTCTGATGATGGAAGATGAAGGCTTCCGAAACGTTGGAAAAGCAAACTTATAAATTTAGGAATAGCTGTAAACTATGTATATATTTCAAACTTTAATATAACCATTGTGCAGATGATAAGTAAAGCCCAATCAGAGATGGTTAATAAAAATCGATAAT